TCAGGGGGAAACTGACTCAGGGGGAAACTGACTCAGGGGGAAACTGACTCAGGGGGAAACTGACTCAGAGGGAAACTGACTCAGGGGGAAACTGACTCAGGGGGAAACTGACTCAGAGGGAAACTGACTCAGAGGGAAACTGACTCAGGTGTACCTGAAGCATCGCAGCAGGCGTTACACCGTCATCAGTGAGCCGCTGTTGTGCTGTTTCAGTGAGCTGCGGCAGGTCGGAGGCGCCTGGCTACGTGCTGGCGGTCTACAGCTCCAGACTGGTGATGGTGGAGCAAGTGACGGCTTCCAGCACCACCATCGCCGACGCCATCATCCAGCTGGCAGAAACCAAAGGCGAGCGGCACGAGGTGAGAGAATCTGAGAGCTTTGAAACATGTTTGTCACCTCTGACGTCCTCAAAGACTGAAACTCATTCAGATGTGTGTAGTTCATTCAGTATTTATGAGCTCTTAAATCTCTCGTCTTCATTTCATCGCTAACGATTTCAAATCGACTTCATTCATCATTAAACAACATCCACCCTGACATTAACAGGAAGTCTCTTTCATTGCTTCAAACTTTGACCTGTAATGGAGAATCACTGTTGTGTGTCAGGGTCGGGAGGGGATGACCTGTTACTACCTGACCCACGGCTGGGCGGGGCTTATCGTCATGGTGGAGAACAGGCACCCGAGGCATCACCTGCACGTGTCCTGCGACTGCAGCGACAGCTTCAACGTGGTGTCGACGCGCAGCAGCCTGAAGACCATCGACAGCATCCCTCCTCTGCACAGGTGCGCCGCGACATTTCAGCGCAACTTTCAAAACGCCGCTGTACTTCATACACACTTAAATCCCAGCTGAGACCTGTTTGTAGTGGGACGCACCGAGACACGTGCCACCGTCCACAAACCTGTGGATCTGACTCTATCGGGAAATAGTCACAACTCAATTATGTGTTAATATTTAATTTCCTCGCTCTGAGAAATTAAAGGGGCGGAGCATGTTTGTACACCTGTGACTTGGCCTGTGTTTGTCTCTCAGACAGGTGCTTGTGGTTTTGTCTCAGCTGGAGGGGAACGCTGGGTTCTCCATCACGCACAGACTGGCTCACCGGAAGGCCGTCCAGGCCTCTCTGGGGAACTGGAGCCCCTCGAAGGCGACGCACAGTCCGGCTCTGAGCCCCGAGACCGCAGGTCTGCACCGGCCTCGGCCGCTATGACGAGCCGGGAGGAAGCGTCTCGATGGACACAGGAACTCATCGGACCGCTGCCTTGATAGAGAACAGGGTTATTTCCCACGGACACCGAGTCTGTTAGAGTCAGAGCTCCTCATCGGCAGAAGTTATCAAAGTGAGGCTGAAAGAAAACAGGGATAACATCAGAAAACACTTTAATTCTCCTTAAATCTAAGTTTAAACCAGTCTGAGATTACTTTAAACTGAATTTAATTAAGATGAAATTCATTTTCTACGAACTGTTTAAGGACCAGAGTTCACACATCATCTGTCATCACCAGAATAACACGCCACGTCTGATTGGATGACACGAACAGAGATGGCGACGCGTCACACAGCGACGTGACGGCTCGTCAGAGCGCGGACAAGCTCAATAATTCGGTTTCTCTTTCTTACAGATGTGGAACAGATGTTCCAAAGGTTCAGACATCATGTTGCTGTTAATCCCATCTGTTGGTTTGAAATGGAAGCAGCCCTCCCATTGGCTGGTTCACATTTGGTAAAAGGATGAGTATTTACTCTTTACTCTACAGACTAATTGCAATCATTCATCCACAGACTTGTTTTTTTTATTCTTTAGTTTTAAATATTTACGTAACTTCACATCTGGAGCAGCCAGGGATGAACCACAGGCCTGAGGAGCAGGTGTACCTCCTGACTTCAGTGGGAGTTTCTGTAGCCTGTCCGATCGATCTGTGTTATTATTTCAGAGGTTGAAGCATTTATCTCTTCACAGATCTTTAAATGTCTCCTGCTCATTTCTGCCTCCATAGTTTTAATCTTGGACCTTCTTTATCGGCTCTTCGTGCAGCCGTTTGAGTTTCTGTCCCTTCAAGGCCCTACTGCCTTTACAGCCGTTTTGTTTCTCATTGGCCAGCTTCTGTAAGCCTGCAGAGGGGCAGCACTTAGTGTCTGTGAGCTGTGCTGTTCCTGTAGCAAAGGGAGAAGCTGCATGAGAGCCAGTTTCCCGTCTGCAGGGATGAAGCTTCTTCTTTTCAGCCAGTCTGGAAGTTAGTGCCGTCTCAGCTCCTTCAACATAAAAGCACGCTGTAACCTTTTCTTCTTCTTCTTCTGGATTATTGCAGGAAATCGTCTCAGTGTGAAATGCTATTTAATACCTTCCCTTTTTATCACTACAAACTGACACTACGTTTGTGAGCAAGCGGTCATGATCAACCTGTGAATGTTCACCTGTAAGGCGGGATTCACACCTGCACGCTGCTCCAACACTTGAAGGTGGAGCTCCTGATTGCTCTCTGCTTTGACTCCAACATTTTGATGCTACTCCCTCAGGATTTCCATATTGTGATTTCATTGGCTAGTGGCAGCACTGGAGTATTTGTATAAGCATGACTTGATTGGCTGACACCAGGTGAAGCTCGAAACACCTCCGTGTGAATCCTGCCTAACATCTGAAAGTGAAGGTCAGAAATTTGGTTTCAATTTTATCTACATAACACCAAACAACAACAGCCACCCCAGGTATTTGTATTGTAAGGTAGAGACTACAATAATACAGAGAAAACCCCAACAATCAGATGAGCAAGGACTTTGGCGACAGTGGGAAGGAAAAACTCCCTTTCAGCAGGAAGAAACGTCCAGCAGAACCAGTTTCATCTGCTCTGACCTCATAGTTGCACAGAGTTTAAACTAAATTTTGAATTTAGTCAAAAGTAAACACCACATTTAGAGCAGAAATCACACGATGCACTTTATCCGTCACATCAGAGCATGTTCAGGTCCACGCTGTCTTTGCTGCAACCACTGACACGTGATTGGAGGGCAGCCGTGGAGATGACGTGGTGTCCGCGTGATGTTTGAATGTTGTGTTTTAGAGTCACAGCGCAGAGCTGCTGTGTGAAGCATTAGCACTTTATCAACTGTATGCTGGAGTCTCTTTTATTTTGAAGGACGTGTAGGAAACAGTTTTATTCTCGTGGATTTAAAACTACCATCGTGTTGACAGAATGAAAACTATGCAAATGTTTGAAAGCTGTCTTTATGCTTCAGAAAAACAAGTCGAGCTCTTTATCTGCAGCTTCTCTTCTCTGATAGCAGGGTGAAAATAGACGTGTATGCATTCTGATGTGGTTAGTGTTACACTGAAGCTTTTAAACGTTCAGGTTGACTTTTACTCCGTATTCTGTTCTCTCAGTAGCTACTTTAATATAAAGTTTATATACTGTATGCATAGCAGTATGAATGTAAATAACAATAGAAAAGATATGCGGGTGAACTGAAGGAAATAAACATTTGAAAGTTTTCACATCTTCGTTTTTTCATTTTTTGAGACGCAATCAGCAGAAAAGTCTTTTAATGCAGTATTTCACAATAAACGGTTGCATGGCCCTTTACAGTGTGGAGAATTTAATACACAGAATTATCTAGAGTTCTTTTTTATAATTCGTGAGTGCACTAACACCCATCACTGTGTCACTTTTGACACCACAATATTTTAAAATCCACTGATTCCCAGGAAAGCTCTGGATCAACTCTTCCTAGTACATCTTTGCTGTACAATCACTTTGATTTTATTTTTTAACCCTTATTTATCAATATATATTTAAAACTAAATGTGCCGAATACGTTATGAGCCACTTCTTCTTCTTATATATGCATTAATGTAGAGCTTAATCGATTATTTCTGTCCCTAAGTAATCTTAAAACAGGACTGAGAACCCATAATCAGCACGTTATGGCTTTAACACGTATTGTAACCTTTATTTTTACATATTTGTAGAATTAACAAGACCGAATTAGTTATGAGGAGGTTCTTCTTTATATGCACCATTTGACGTACTGACATGTGTCACTGAATTACTTTGATGATGAACAAATCTTAAAACTCGAGTGATTCGAAGGCGAGTTTGGCAGCGTTCCGATTCCCGCCCCCAGCACAACACGGCTGTAATGTGACTTTTGTTAATAAGTTTAAACATTTATTTATTGACATATTTGCAGAATAAACGGCGCCGAGTTGTTTTGTTTGTCAGGTACTCATTACTGTCCCTAAACATATCAATAAATTACTTTCAGAGAGAAAAATTATTAAAATGCGAAATATTTTAAGGTATTTTCTGTCCCAAAACCCACTTCCGGACGTGATGACGCGTTTCTCATCACGCTCCAAACCAAAACATCTGTTGGCAGCTCGTAGCTGTGAGCTTTATCTTGGCGTTGTATTTGATATAAAAACGGCATATTTACACGTCACAGAGGAAGCGTGAGCCCTTCGAGGTCCAGGTGGTTTTCAGCCTCCTCAGGTGTGTAGCCGTGACGCTCAGGTACGCTTTTAGCTAGCGCTGGGTGTGTGTGTCGCATCTGCTACAGCTAGCTGTGCTGGCTGATAGCAGACTTCGTGCATTAGCTTTATAGCCCCGTTTTAATTAAACAACGTGGCTGGAGACCAAAGCTCTGAAGAACCAGGTCAGAAAAAGAGGGAAAGAAACATTAGCATGCTAGGGCTAGCTTCACATTAGCATTTCCTCCTGTATGGTGTGTGGGCGGTGAGAGCTCAGAGCTCCGTGAAAAACGGGTTAGTCATGTTTTCAGTGTCTGTGGTGATGCGCAGTAAGAACTAACAAATGCACTCAAACTGACATGGTAGGATTACAGGTGTAGTTTTGTTTGCCTGTGCACAGTTGTTTACCTGCACAAACTCAGTAATCAAAGTTACAGCATTGTTGCATCTAGTCAATAATATCCTGATTGTGTAAGCAAAGTCTGATCTCATCGTCCAGTCAGGACAGGATGCTGTTCATTAGGATCTAGCTCCTGCCAGGTAAAGGTACCAAACATCCTCTCACACTGACTCACTCTCTGGATCTTTCCCCTCCAGTTTCCTCTTCCTCCTGTTGGATCCCAGTGTCAGGATAGGGAAGCAAAGCAAAGCAGCAGCTGCTGGTGGTGCAGCCGGCTCGGGTGACAAAATGTCCGAAAGTCCGGAGAAGGACGCCTCGGTGTCGGCTCAGGAGTTGAAGGAGCAGGGAAACCGTCTGTTCCTGAGCCGCAAATACCTGGAGGCTGCAGCCTGCTACACCAAAGCCATAGTAAGGGTCAGGCGATGGGGCGCGTGCTCGCCTTCCTCCCTCTACTCATTTTCATATAAACACACTTTTCCCAACTTCCATGATTTTCTCTGAGAAACCGAGGAATCAGTCTGATCAGTGCCGCCTCCTCCGTGTGTCTGTTCTCCATCAGAGCCACAGTCCCTCCATCCCGGCGTACTACACCAACAGAGCGCTGTGCTACGTGAAGCTGCAGCAGTACGACAAAGCTCTGGCAGACTGCAGGCAGGCTCTGGAGCTCGACAGCCAGTCGGTCAAAGCGCATTTCTTCATGGGACAGTGTCACCTGGAGATGGAAAACTACGACGAGGCCATCGGCAACCTGCAGAAAGGTACGGATTTAGAACACGCCTGCTTCTTTTTCAGAAATGAAGAAAGCGAGTCTGCAAACAGTGGAACACTGCATTAAAAACCTCTTTGTTTCCTTCTCCAGCTTATAATCTGGCAAAAGAGCAGCGGCTGAACTTTGGCGACGACATCCCCAGCGCGCTGCGCATCGCTAAGAAGAAGCGCTGGAACAGTATGGAGGAGAGGAGGATCAACCAGGAGAGCGAGCTGCAGGCCTATCTCACCAAACTCATCCACGCCGAGAAAAAGAGGCAGGGCCCGAGAGAAACGAGCCGTCGGCCGTTTGGTCGCTGTAACGAGGGCTCCTGGAGTAAAGTGTGTCTGTCTGTGTGGTCTGATCCTCAGAGAACTGGAACGCTGCAGACAGAAGCAAGAGGAAAAATCCGACGACAGCAGAGTCCGTCAGCGTCTCAACGAGATCCACACCAAACACGTAGGCTTTTATTGTGAAATTCTCCTCAGTGACATCAGGAGCGTCCTGATAGTGCAAAACATTAAAGCTGAAATGCTGCCAGCAAACAAATTCTGATTTATATTATTTATTTATCTGCAGGACAAATACCTGTCGGACCTGGAGGAGCTGTTCTGTCAGGTCGATGAAAAGAGGAAGGTCAGTGATGGTCCGCCGTGTTTTCCTCAGTCGGACGAGTCCTCGTACAACGAGCCGGTTTAGGACAAATGAGTTTGTTTTGGTGTTTGACAGAAGCGTGAGATCCCAGACTTCCTGTGTGGAAAGATCAGCTTTGAGTTGATGAGAGAGCCGTGCATCACTCCCAGCGGAATCACCTACGACCGCAAAGACATCGAGGAGCACCTGCAGGTAAAAATGCCCCAACTCGCTCTCACCTGCTTTCATTGACTCATTTTCAGCACGAAAAACTCGTCAAATCCTGATTTTGCCAGCGAATGAAGTTTAACTGAAGTCTGTAGTATTGTGATGACGACAGGATGCACGGCTCTCTGTTCTGTTCCCACAGAGAGTCGGACATTTTGATCCAGTGACGCGCACGCCGCTGACCCAAGATCAGCTCATCCCAAACCTGGCCATGAAGGAAGTCATCGATGCTTTTATTTTGGAGAACGGATGGGTGGAGGACTACTGACCCAGTTTGTTCAATTCAGCTTTATTTTAAACATCCCAGTCACAGCAGCCGTCACTCTGGGAGTTTTTATCATGAAAGGTAAAGACAGCTGCTGCGTGAGGTCAACGGGCCAATCATCTCCTCTTTATTTCCTGTCCTGTTCCAGTGCTGGATGTTCGTATTAAACATGACGTTCGGTGTGTGCGCTAATCCCCGTGAGCCAAAAAGTTTAAACTGCAGATGTTTTTTTTCCTGCACCGCTGAGCTAAGTGGGCTAAAGTCCACTCTCGAGTCCAGTTAATGAGCAGAGTGGGTCCACTTTAGTGTCCACAGAAACAAAACCCACCACTTCCGCTTTAATCTGATTAAATACAGCCTGAAAACGACGCCCTGCACTGATGGCGTAGCAGTCTGAGAACCACATGACCACAATCACGCTGCTGCACAACAATCAGAGGCCCAGGCTGCGACGCGAGGTGAGAAAAGAGATCAACAGGTGTGAAATCATCACTCGCCAGCCAATCAGATCTCTGGAAAAAGGACGTAGGAGAGAGCGCTGAGCCGACACCGTTCTTTATGACTGTACGCTGCTGAAGGTATAAACATCGCAGGTTAAACTCTGGTTTTACTGGTTCGCACTCACGTCGCAGCTCCGAACGCTTCGGCTGTAGATCTTTAATGTTTGAGGAGATAAAACTGGAAAGTCCTGAAAGGTGGTGTTTGTCAGGCCAGCGCTGCATTCACTGACACCTGAGCAAACATGAGACATCGCACCATGCTCGGTATTCTGTACGCCGGCCCGTTTTCACTCGTTTCATCCTCGATGTTTTTGCTATTTTATCGTTTCTGCTTCAGATCAATCAAGTTAAACCTGCGCGGTTGTTTAGTGGGAGCAGATTTCACAGGGAACGGTTTTCAGATCCAGGTGATGCGACGTCTGTACGGGAAAACTGATCAACCTGCCGATGTTCAGTAGAAATAAATGTGAATAAATCTTTCGTGTTTTTGTATTTCAGCCTCAGTTATTTGTGCTCGTCTCGCTCAGTGACCACAAACAATCCAAAACCAGCTCAAATAAAAGACAAAATGAGAAAAGCTCCAGAAACACTCACATCTTCAACCTCAGCTCTTTTTGTTTTTCCCGGTGAGAAGCAGACAGCTACGGAGGCCTGCAGGGGCCAAACATATTAAAGGTTTTGCATGAATAAAATAAATGGGCACATTGAGAACGATTGCCTCAGATTGTTAAACTGTATATAAAAGATGGAAATGATTACTGACTCCGCCCACATCGGGGCCTCTGTATTAGCGTTTTGGCTCCAGATGGGTGGAGATTTCACATCTGTCACATGCTTTTTGCATTTTGGAAGAAATTTTCCCCGAGTGCTTCCCTGACCGTTAGAGGCAGCTGGAGAGTCAGAGGGCTCAGTGTTAGAGTCATGTTACAGTTTGTTCAGATGTTCGGAATAAAAACATTTAAAACAAATCCAGTTTAATTCCCAGGATTTTAAGTACTTTATTGGTTCTCCGTGACCCCTCGGGGTCGCCGTAAAAAAGTTAACATGACAGAAAATCAAATCCCATCAAAAAAAAAAAAAGATGTTTGCATTTGATTTCAAGTAAAACCTGTTGCAGCACACGGTGATCAGAGCTGAATTCAGCTTCCAGAGTGCAGAAACACAGCGTGATGGTCAACATTACAACAACCTGCTAAAATAAATGAGTAATCTGTGATTGTGATCCACAGAGGTCTGCAGAATTAAACTGCAGACATCCTAAAATGACACAAATCTGTTATTTGCGGTTGAATCCCTCCGTGAGTCAGTTTTCTTAAAATGTGCCAGGAAATCCTTAAAGACGTCCTGAGAGCTCAGCCCAGGAAGGTGGAGATGAAGACGCTTGTGTCCAGGTTTAGAGTGGCGTGCCACCAACGGTCGGGGAAATACAGCACCTGGAGACAAACATGCAGAAACGCACCGTTAGCGCCGCGCTCACGATCCAGTCGTTCAAATGTAACAGGCGGCGCTCCGAGGGCTCAGTTTTAGAGCCGGTTTCCCGTCAGGGGCTGGAAAACCTCCAGGATGGCTGAAAACTTCAGAAGCATGAGGTGTAATTAAATGTCCAAGTAAGGAAACAGCCTGAGTATCACTGCTCTCACATCTGAAGCGTTGCTGAATCCCGTCTCTCTTAAATCAGCTGTTTATCTGTGGCGTTCTGAACGGGTCACTGCTTAGTTCGCCGGCGTCTGGGGTCAGAGTCCAGACGAAGCTTTTTACTTTACACACATGAACTAACTTTCATGTTTTTACTGAAATGGACGCTGAGATAAAGCGACCCTGCTGTGTGTGCTTGGGGCGAGTCGTGAGCAGGTTGGGCGGCGTTACCTCTCCGGGTCGGATGGTGCACTCCAGCGGGGCCTCGTCCTCCAGCAGGTTGGGGTACGTTTCTGTGACCCAGGAAAGGGTGGTGCGGTTCGGGTGGAAGTGAGGCTCCTGATCGGGCGGGTAGAGGAACCACCGCTGTGCGAGGAGTAATTCAGAGGTTAACAGGAAACGCATCACTCTATGAGCAAGCCGTTTTAGTTTACTTCAGTTTTATTTTGAAAATCTGACACTGAGACGCTGCCACATGACCCGCAGATTTAAGCACGCATTTACACAACCACACCTCATCCACTCCGTTACTGGAAATCCAGCTCTGAATGGCTGAGACCCACCAGAGGGCGCCACATGTCCACAAAGCCACTCCCCTCCCCACACAGAGCCTCTTTAATTCGTTTAATCAAACAGCTGGTTTCCTCTATGGGCTCAAAATGTGGTCATAAATATTTTGTACTTGTAAATCAGGATTTGTGTGTGTAAAAAAGATTTGTGTGTGGACTTAGCCAAAACAATCCTGCAAGTTACAAGTACGGATTTTGACCCTATTTTTCTTCCTTTCATCTGATTGGTCAATGTCATGTCAATCACAAATGTAACGATCCAATCAGAGAACAGATGGGTTTGGCTGTCGAGGGGCGCTTTTTTTGAACTGCAGGTCCTTGAAGGGTGATACAGTTTGAAGCTGGAGGATCTCTATATAAATATCTGATAGCAGCTAGGTCCCCTAACTTTCAGTAGCTGTTGAAAGGGTAAAGTTGTGGTATATCAGTGGTTAGAAACACCATTATTACTTTAGGATTATTTTAACACAAAGTCAGAGCTGACCCGGGACCATTGCTGTGAGTCACAGTGCGCAGCATAAAAGTCCTTTCACATTGGACGCAGGATGTGCTGCTAATGCTAACTGCTAACTAAAAGCCAAGGATCCAGAGTGTGTTGCTGGCTGCTGAGCTCTGTGTGCAGCAGCTCTACCTGCACTAGATGCACCTGCTCCTTGTCTTTTCTATCTCTGACTTTATGTCCTCTACAAGAGTTTGTTTTTGCTGTTTCTTTAAATGTTCAATAAAAACATGTATGCTAATTCATAACGAAGAAAGCTTTGTGATGAAGACTGTCATTTTCCAAAACACTGCCCCCCCACCCCGCGGTCCGCAGCGCTGTTGATGTCCCTGTATTAAACACGTAGACCTGTGACACAAAAATCACCAAACTCGGACGACCACAGACTGTTTTCCTTCGTGGTGATGAAGGAAAACGCTGGGTTGGCATGTAAAAGGGCATTTATTCCCTTCAAGGACCTGCAGTAAAAAAAAAAGCGCCCCTCGACAGCCAAACCCATCTGTTCTCTGATTGGATCGTTACATTTGTGATTGACATGACATTGACCAATCAGATGAAAGGAAGAAAAATAGGGTCAAAATTCGTACTTGTAACTTGCAGGGTTTTTTTTGGCTAAGTCCACACACAAATCTTTTTTACACACAAATCTTTTTTACAAGTACAAAAAGTTTATGACCACATTTTGAGCCCATATTCCTCCCACCTTCCTTCCGTAGATGACCTCGGAGTATCCCGGGCCGTGCCAGTGGAAGGGGACTCCTGTTCCAGGACCTGAAGAAGAAAGCGGAGCTGCTGTTTGGATTCCACTCTCGGATATTTCTGAGATTTCTTTCATTTTAAAAGAATTTTCACAGTAATGGTCCTAAAAAAGCAGATTATCATAGAGAATTATGTGTCACACGAGTCCTGTCAGGTTTATCAGATCTTTTTCCTTCTCTTGATTTTATGTCATTCCTCGTTTGTCTGCCGCTCTCTGACCTGCGATGCCGAAGCTGTACGCTCCGCTGGTGAGCGGCAGGACGTACGGCGGAGACTCGTAGTGCTCGAAGAGACTCTGCCACTCGGTGAAGTTATTGTCCCCGAAAAAATACAGCGTGTCTGCAGGAAAGTCAAACATTATTCAATAAATCTCACAGCATAAAAGTCACAGCAGCGTCCAGTCGAAGAAAACAGATTCATAAGGAAAACAAAATACTTTTTAATCATGAATGAAAACAAACCATGTTAATAAAAGCAAAATAGTAAAAATAGAAAACATTTAAAACAAAGTCTGACAGAAAATTCTGACTAAAGTAAAAATAAATAAACAAGAGTAAAATAAAACAAAACTCTAAAAAAATGAAGTGAAATAAGTTTTAAAACTAAATAAATAAATAAATAAGACATCACTAAATGAGAGGAAATACAAACAATTAAAACCAAAAAATATGAAAATAAACTAAGAAATCCTTTTTAAAAAAAGCAAAGTGACCAAAAATGTTTAGAATTAAACAAAAAATGACGAAACCTAAAAAACTTGAATAAATGAGAGAAAACAAAAAAACAAGTTTAGCAAAGCAAAGCCAGAAACAGGAAACCAAACGAGAGCGTTTCCTGAACACCTGTCCCGGCGGCGGCGGCTTTAAGACTCACCGCTGCCGAGGGCGTCCGCAGACTGAGGCCTCAGAAACTCGTCCACGTACTCCTGGAAGGGAACGTCCACTGAAACACATCAGCACAGTCAGGAGCAGGAAGTGAACAGGTGTGTCTGCGAGGCCACACAGGTGAGACGGGCGTACCTTTCCTGTAGGAGTAGGTGTTGGCCGTGCTGAGCCTCACTCTGTGGGCGCCGTACTCTCTCAGTAAGCTCGACTTGGAGCACAGAAGCCTGAATTTCTGAAACAGATCCAGCGTGACCTTTCAGGCTGTTCACCTGTGCTCACCTGCCTGCAGCTCAGTCATGTGATGCTTACATGTAGATAAGATGTCTGTTTTCAATACGTACGGTGTTGTCAGTGAGGCCTCTGAGGATGACCGGCCTGCCGTACGCGTACCTGCAGGAAACACAGTTGAAGGTTAGTGCTGCTGTTTACACGGTGATGTCATCAGTGAATGTCTGCTGAGAAACAGCAGCTTACTCACGCACCTCTCCATGAACTGCTGGTACGAGAGCGACGAGCCGTCCAGCACGTCGATGTTACACCGACCTTCATCCTGAGACCTGACGTCTGAGGCCGAGAACCTGAGCAGAGCGAGGCGCGCAGGTAAGAGCAGAGCTCACCTGTGGAGCTGCTTACACGCTTTAACATTCATTCAGCAGCTCCTCAGTCATTTAAATCTGTCTCCCTCGTTCCACCTTAAAAACCCAACATTCATGTCACATTCGAGCTGATGACCTCCAGGATGCGAGGAGGAGGAGCTATTAAATAAAACTGAGGCGTAGACTCAAACCCAGAGATCGTCCTTTTATAGCATTCCTCAGACCTCATAGCAGCCATGTTATTGGTCACATGATGTCATTCAAAATGCTCCAACAGCACAAACACGGTCCAGAGGTCCAGGTCAGGTGAAGCTAGCAGACAGCTACACCTGTGTCTCCATCCACCTGTCAGTCACAGAGGCCACGCCCCTAATAATGCAAACTTTAAATAGGTGAGTTATAAACACAGGTGTTATCTACAGGCTGCAAACACGTTTATTTCTGCTGGAAAGTTTTAACCTGGAGTCTATGGGACTGACTCACTGCTGCCTCTCCTGGACGTTGGATGAACTGCAACCTCTCAGCAGCTCACTAATCTGAATCCAGAGTTTATCTTTACGATAAAATAATGTTCTCGTTTTAATTTCCACCCTCGGATCTGCTGAAGTGCAGCTGGAAGCTAAGATGGGAAAATCTGAAAATGTCCTTTTATATTTTATTAAACAATAATAAAAATAACATGAAATGATTTTATTTATTTATCTGTGCGGGGACAAAATCAGCTGCCATATGACGTATTTAGGAGCACGCGGACAGTTTAATACTGTTATATTATCGTAGTCATAATCGTCTCTGACCAGGCTCGTTCTGCATGAAACGTATGACGTCATCAGTGCCACTGAAATCGCTCCTCGTGGACACAGCTGTTAACTTCACAGGTTTTTGAACGGAGTCTGGTTGAAACTACAGCGAGGGTTGTTTGAATGAGTTTTATGCAAACGTGTCAGGCTGAAGCAGAGTGTAGCTCACCATCCTCCTCCATCCTCATCTTCCTCCTGCTGCTGCAGCTGCGCAGTCACTGCGGCGGTGAAGAAGATAAAAGCGAGCCGCACCGCTTTGATCTCCATTCTCCCCAAAAGCCTCCGCGAGCTTCGAGCGAGCTCAGCCCCACAAATCAGCCTGTTTCTCCTCAGTGTCCCACATGAACGTCAAGTAAGCGCCGACTCCTACTTCCTGGACGACAGCCAATCAGAAAGGACCACATTAATCAGACCGGTTGATGCGTTCGAGGTGCGTGGAACGTTTGAGCGCCTCTGTAGATCGGTTTGTAGTCCTCAACTCTTTATTTATTTCAAGAGGCCCGTTTCCCTGCAGCACTGCTGTGACCCACCTGGCCTTGATAAAGTCCTGCTGTTTGTTGCTGCTCTCATGGAAAACAGCACAAACTGCAGCACATCTATTTGCATTCTTGTTTGACTAAACAAAAAATTTGCTTTCTAATCTGAGACCTAACCATCGACTGCACGCCTCCAATTTCTTCTTCTACAATCTGTTTCCTGTTAGCTGCTCATTTGCATTTTGTATTTCTTGCATTGTGTTGTTCCAATACACCTGCTTTACATCTGATAAATACAGACGGCAGTATTTAAACATCAGCCGCCTGTTCAGAATGAAATTAAACACATTACACATCAGTTGAAATGTCTCATGATTCAGAGTCAAACTTGTTAGGATACAAAACCAAAGCAAGAACCATAATTCTATATTTATTACCATGTCACTATTTATTTAAATGAGTTAAACAACATGTAGCTGTACTGATGACAGAGGAATGTATATTTATTATACTCAAATAAATAAAAGGATTTCTAGAGTCTTAGCTTGCAAATTAAACTCAGGACTGTAAGTGCAGTCAGAGCCGTGAATGTGTGGACAGGGACAGCTTTTGAGTTTTACACTCAGGATGCGATTAGAGTTCAGACCTTCAGCTTCAGAGCTTTAACACAAATGTTCAGCAGTTACAGACATTTTTATACGCAGCACCGTTTCAGAGACTCGGACATGAATGAAAAATTGAGCGATAAGCACTTGATGGGCAGGTGAGGCCTGTCGTCATCACGCAGCTGAAACATCCATGAAAGTTAAAATCTTTGAGGACCAACAGAAACATCTTCCTCAAAATGATGCGAGCTGCAGAAGAACAAAGTCTGTTAAATGAAGAATGAAGAAAAATTGGAAATATAAAAGAAAAGTAAAAGAAAAGAAGAGTGAAAGTAAAACTGCAGAGAAAGAAGGAAATGCAGAGGAGTGTTCACCTGCGTGCTCACAGGAAGACGTGCATCTTGCCTCCAGGCTGCAGTCAACACAGAGGCTTTTCTGTTTCTCACTCTGCTTATTGATTCAACAACTCGACAACCTCTGCTAACAGCCAGCAGAGAGGGCCACACGTCATCTAAACATCTTCGTACCTTCATAACCTGCCGTGGACAGACAGAAACTGTGATTACATCTACAAAAACACCCGGCAGGCCTCTCCCTGCTGACAGCAGCTTTCCTATAGAAAAAAACAAAACAAATCAGAGCAAAATAACCAGCCAATCATAAATCAGCACAGTCATACGTGACCTTTCACCTCATCAGGACCCTGATGGAGTCCCCGCAGGTTGGACCAATAAAGAACTGCTATTAACGTGATTAACCACTCGAAACGACATTTGATCTTTCTGTGTGGAGCTTCTTGAATAGACTCCGAGACGTTTCAGACACATTTTCACAGCTCTGTGATCGATAATGATGTTTATCTGATTTTGATGATCTGCAAAACATCAAACAATTTATTTAACACGGAGCCACAGACGGTATCAAAGTATGAAGGCCACACAAAAACCCACAGTTTAACAAGTCTTTAACAAGTACACACCGAGAACAGCAAAGAGGCGGAGCCTTTTACAACAGGTAAACTCAGGTGTGGTGGAAGAAAACAGCAGTTGTTCCTGTGATCACCATTAAAACTTTTACTGGGAAAAACTGTCGCGCGTCCTTCATCAAAGCAGCCGATGAACAAAGTCCGACATGAAGGAAAACAAACTTCCATCCACCGCTGTTTGTTACAGAGAAACATCTGCGCCAGGCTCCAGGAGCTTATTAAAGCTGATTCATGTTTAGATGATACAGCTCAATGACGGCATATTTACACGGAAGCAGCAAACAGGGAGAGTCGTGAGGTGTACTAGACCAATGTTAGGGTTTTCACAACATTTTTCAGATTAAAAGTCAAATAATATAAAATACTGTATTCATTTAAAAACATTCTTTAAAAGAATAAATGTTATTTTAATATGACATGTACATACAATCAAAGCATTTTTTGAAAGATTTTATTTTCAGTTAAACGTTTAAATTGGAAACCAGTTAGAAGTTCATTTTCAAAGACCTGCTTTTTGTCCTCTGATAATCCTATATTGCTCATTAATAACACAAAAGCATTTCTTATTTGATTCCTTAATTAATCGATGGAATAATCGATGGATTACACTGAAAGAATGGACAGCTGCAGCCTTACTTCAGATTGAGGTCAGCAGCTGTATCTTACTTGCAGAGAGAGGTTCAACTCATTTAACATGGAGGACCCAGTCAGCTGACGCTCGCTGGGCGAGTGATGCTTTCCTCTTCCTGCCAGTGTGATGACGTTTCACTGCACATTTAATCCCTCACATGTCTCCGTTTGACAGAAAGAAACATCATTTCATCAGTGTGTCCCAGTTTTTCTACATGATGCAGAAATGTGTGAAATTATTAATAAAGTTGTGACAGCTGCCCAGAAAGCTTTTCTTGATTCACAATTTTATTTTATTTTTTATTGTTGTTTTTTTATTGTTGTTGTTTTTATTTTTAGACCCATGGTCTAAAAAACAAACAAACAAAACAGCAACTTTTCGGTCATGTATGAATGCCTGCATGGAAGGAACTGTGAAATGCATGAAAACGCCGTTAAAACTCCAAAATTGACGCTTTCCTTCACGTTTTCTCAAGATATCCAGCGTCCTTCCCAAGAGGCTTTGCCCGCAAAGCCTCTTGGGAAGGACGCTGGCCACAGGGCCTCATGTTGAAAAACGAGGGTTCACTAAAAAATTGGTTCCACACATAGCGGGTGTGTGGGTCTGTGGGCTTAGCTGTGTTCAGTGGAAGCATCTTCCTCCTCTGACTGTAGTTACTGTGACTGTCATGAGATGCAAAACTGAAACACTGAGGGAGGCGGAGCACAGCTCAGGGTCAGCCACTACTTTTTGGTTACTGTTGCTGCTGCACGTCACTTTATGATGGGTGAGGTTTTATCTAAGGAGCCGCTCACATGATGATGTCACCAATGGTCGACTTTGTTTCCAAGGTAACATTAGTTATTCTGATGAAGGCCAAAGTCCCACATCCTCTCGATTATCATGCAGAATGAAATGATTACAATACATTTTTTTACAGCTGCACACAGAATCCTGCATGTTAGGAAAATCTGTTTTATTTAATAGAATAAAAGAGCACAGATATCACGCCAGACAGTTTTTCACTAACATACCAAACAAACAGCAGCAGGTTTAAACACAGGCCACACAAATATCCCCGATTATTTTAATAAGATGTGCAAAAGTTAATAATAGTAAATATTCCTCCTGTTTATTGGACTTAAACAGAAAATCACAGTTACTGGCACTTGGCTCAAACATTTTAAAACATTAACGTTAATCAACGAAAAGAAAGATGAAAAGAGATAATAAAGTCAATAAAATAGCTTTAGTTTCTTCACCATGGTTGTACAAAGACTGATTTGTGTTTGTGCAGGTCTGAGATCAGCTTGGTTCTGTCTGAGATTCCTTCATATTTAGAGTTTTTCCTCCTCGCTGTCTCCAAGTGTTTCTCTCTGCTTCGACTGCTCTGAGACAGCACAATGTAAATAGTGTGTGAATGTGTGGATGACTGGATGTGTAAAGCGCTATACAAATACAGGCCAATTACCAAATAACATGAAAGTGAATTAAATCGTCTCAGAATGTGCCCCAGAGGGGCCGACATGGCAGCCTGGCCTCTGTCAGTCTGCCCCAGGACAGCTGTGGCTACAAGCTGCCTCCACCAGGGTGTGAATGTGAGAGTGGATCAAAAGTGGTATTGTAAAGCGCTTTATAAATGCAATCCATTATTATTATTATTATTATTATCATCATTATAATAAATATAATCATTGGTTGATTTTATATATTAAATTCTAAAAATCAAAGAATACAACAATAAGATTTTTTTTTTAATGTTACATTTTAAAATGTCATTTTATCAATTTATATTTGATATATTCTGTCTTTAAATTGTGAAAATATATTTTAAAATCTTAATAGTTTTTTTTACACCAGTGTTTTAGCTAAACATATTCAAGATAAGAGTTGTTGTAGTTATTATACGGCATTGCTAATTTCTTCCTTTTGATGTATTCTATCATATTGGGGTTTTTTAATTAAATTATTAATTGCTATTTGATATAGAAATAGAAAGTGATGGATGGCACAGTTTTAATTCAACGAAAACATTAATCAAATATAAAAAAAATTCTGCTAAAGCTTTTTTCAAATTGTTCTTTGAAATCGTTTAAAGACTGATTTTCTTTTTCAAAATAAATGTATTTACAACAGTGCTCAGGCTCTATTGACGTAAAATATTTTATTTTTTATAAATATACATTGTTAATCAGTGATACTTAAAAGTTTGAGGGTCATTATTCTGCAGTTAAGTTCATGTAAGCATTGTTTTTAATGGAAGTAATCAATCTTTTTGGGGGCGATTTGTTGTTTTTTAATCTGTTTTAATGACTTGACAAACAAAAATAAAACCAAACATTCCCAGGATTCCCGTTTTGTCTAATGTTATCAAAACAGCAAAGTGAACTGGAAACAAGTGTGAACTTTTGAGCCTTCAGGGAACATTTTTCTGTTGTCTGAGAAACTGATGGTGAAAGTACAGTTTTTCCAGTGATGTTCAGCAGAAATGATGCATTCCTATGAGAGGACAAAGAGAGAGAAGAGGATGGGGAGGAGGGAGAGCAGCAGAGGAACTGAGAGGTAGATGAAGTGAGCCGAGGAGGGCACAAAGGTGATGAAGCCCGGCTGGTTGGAGGTGATCTGGCTGTTGATCCAGGACTGGTACTGTGATACCCGAGTGTAGACTCCTGGGAAATTGGGCTGAGCGCAGCCTATCCCAAAGCTCACCACTCCAGCCTGGACCCAAACGGAGCTGTTTTTAACCACCAGTGGGCCTCCAGAGTCACCCTGCACACATCAGACATGGTGGTTATAGCACCAGCAGCCATGTGGATGCATATATGGATATATTTACATCTGTGTAAAAAGTGACAATATAAATGTATTATATTTGTATAATTGTGTGTGTGTGTGTGTGTAAATATCAGTCTGCCAAATGAATTTGCTAACATTTGCGAGACACAATTTTCACCAAAAAACCCACAAATGTTAAATTCTGTATGAAAAAGATAAATAAATAAATTACCAATCAATCAATCAATGGTAAACATTGATATAGTTCTTGTTACTGTGTTCATTTTTATATAACATAGTTTTTTACGCAGTTTTTTATTATTTACACTTAATTTTATTTATCTAATTTATGTTAATAACTTTAAAATAATCCGATTCCTCAGACAGTTTAAGTTGAGCCAGTTTTCAATGTGATGAAAACATCTGGACACAAACTCAGTCAAGTCAAACTGATCTTCACAGTACGACAAAAGTGTGAACAAATACATGTTTCATATTCTGGGTCCTTCAGAGGTTCCACTGTCTGCGTTGTGATTGGTGCGTTACATCGTGGCTTCAGACTCATTTGTAGGTGTTCACATGGACCCACACTCACCTGGCAGGAGTCCTTTCCTCCCTGAGCCACGCCGGCACACATCATGTTGCTTGTGATTCTACCATTGTAGGCATCGTTACAGTCGGTGTTGGACACGATAGGGATGCTCACCTCCTGTAGCGTCCCAGGGGAAGGAAGGGAAACTGAAAAAGCCCAAACAGAAATGAGCAGTTTGAGGCATGAATCCACCACGTGTGAAGAAGATGCTTGGATACTGTCATATATTTATCTTTGATATCGTTAGAGTTGGTAGATCAGGATCAACACTTGTAGCCTGTGTACACTCATTCACTCACTTCTGTTAAATTTGCTGTTTTAGTTAGCCTCAGAGTTGCTCTTCAAAATGTATTTACTTACATTTCCTGCAAAGTCAGAGACCTACTGTCATGGTCCCCGTGTCTGCCCGGACGGCTCCACAAGGCCACATGTGTTTCTGTTTACTTTCTCCTCTCACCTCCCCGCCGGGGCGGAGCTCATTATGGGCTCCCGCCCTTGGCTCACACACCTGCTCTTCATCAGGCTGCAATTATGTGTTGGACATTTAAGGCCGGGACGCAGACGGTCTCATCGCTGTGTATAGTTTTCCTGGACCCTGTGTGGGTACCCGCCGTGTGAATTTGAGTGAAGAGGAGGGCGAGTGTAAATTAGATTTTTCCCTTGGACCCCGCAATTCCCCCACTGTATATTTCTGCACTTGGTGATTATATAAATAAGATCATTCCTTGTATTGAACTCTGCTGTGTGCTTGGTTCCTCCCCTGAATGTGACAGAATCATCCACTCAGCAGACCCAGCAGCTTCCGCTCCTATCCTCGCCGCCTTGACAGCAATTTTGGAGCACCATGAGCAAATGTTTGCTCGCACCAGAGGTGAGCTTTCAAGCCTCAAGCATATCAGCTGTCAACTGCATCATAAAGATCCAAGAGTAGGAAAAAACTGCTCTAAAGAGTTTTGGCGCACAGGAGTTACCGCAAACACTGACCTCATTAAGATCACATGGCTACGCCAGGAAATGAAGAAAAGCAGAAGCTGAGTATGATCATAATCCGACTATAACAGTAAAGGTTAGTAACTGTCGCTGCTCCAGTTCTTACCGCCGTCTCGGATGTCGCCCCAGCCGGTGACCCAGGTGGTCGTCTCTGCAGGGAAGTCGCTGCCCTCCTCCGCCAGACACACAGGTCGGATGTAGTCCGTGAAGTCAACAGTTGAGGACAGCCGCAGCAGTGCGATGTCATTGTTGTTGGAGTTGGAGTTGTATTGTGAATGTATGATTATCTGTGACACTGACCGGGAGACCCCATTAGTATTAGTGCTTTGCAGTGACTCGTATCCGAGGTGAACGGTCAGTTGTGATGGGGTGCTGAAAATAGCAAGAAGTACTGACTGTTAGTGCTTAATTGATAGTTGACAGGTGAAGAGGGTGGGTCATATGACAGGGTGAGAGCTTACTTGGGGAAACAGTGGGCAGCAGTCAGGATCCATTCATTGTTGATCAGGGAGCCTCCGCAGAAGTGGCGACCGGATGTTTGCAGACTGACCTGCCAGGGCCACGCTCCCGCAGGAGCATCCTGGCCTCCTACGATCTTGGTGTTAAGTGGAGCTTGTCCACAAACTGTAGGCAAAGACATTTATGCACAAAGCAAAATTACTCTCAAACGTTCAAAGCTGGAGAGCAGCTTCAGACCAGATAACGCCGTGTCGGCCCATAAACAAAGCACGAGTGAATCCAGAGGTCAACAAATGAAAGCTCATCAGTCTGTCCCGTTTCAATGAGCCCAAATTTCAGGAACATCTTAAGAGACTTTGGAAAATTCAAAATCAAAACTTAGTGTATTTCAAATTCCTCTTCATAATGAATAGAGGAATATGGGACATCAGACTACTTGTTCTTATTGTTTAATGATGAAGAACTGCCGTACAAGGGAAAAAACCCTGAGAATAATACAGCTGAAAAGCATTTTATTCATACATGTTCTTATCCATTACTTTTACCTACTATATTGCAAAGTTTGTGTCCTGGCCATTTGTCCCAAACTGCATCTCAGTAAAAGAAATTCAATCTGCATTTTATTTATTAGAAACTCCTCTGCTGCCTCTAAACTTGGTTTACAGTGTTCAGAAAACAGTTTATAGCTGTGTGTGTGTGTGTGAGATATATTAATAAATGGATTATCAGCACTCACCATCGAGCTGTGCGTTGCTTCCTGTTTAGAGACAATAGAAACAGAGACACGATGTATTTGTTAGATCTCCGTGAACTCAACAGGCTGGTTGTTCTTAACGTGCTGTTGGAGTTTCTAGGTGGGGCTGGAATGTGCGGCATGAAGCCAAACAAAAGACGGAAACGATGTCTTTGTCTGAGACAAGAAAACGATGCTCTTGAAAGACAGGACATATCAGGAGGCCACAGTAAGAACACGAATGTACGGAGAGGTTGTGGTATGAAGAAGCGCGGCTTTAAAGATTTTATCTTTCCACGGTTGATGGTTTGACTGACAACAAATAGCCCTATTACCAGCCTACTTTTGAATGCGAACATAAATTTCAGAGCGAAATCAGCTACTTCCTGTCATTGTGGAGATTTTAAAAGACTGTCAACAAAAACATTAAATTTAAAGAATGAAAAACTCGATCTCATTGCAGGCCGACATGGGCAACTCTTTCTTCTTTTTTTCTGCGAACCCAACAGGAAGTTGTTGAATAAACACTTTGTTCACCAGCGTGGTGTTAAGAGGAGAATGACCCTGGAAATGTCACATTTAACACATCACTGAAATACAAAAGTTTAAATAAAGCTTTCAATGAACTTTTGTATTTCCATAGTCGGCGGTTTTTCTCTACAGTACTTCCTGTTTTAATGGTCATATGGTTTTTACCAGTGATGCTCGGTCTATACCAATATGGGGTCCATGCTAGTGTAACCATGGCTGATTTCTGCTTGCAGTGACATAATTATTGTTTCTGATCCAACCTGTGTGAGAGAACGCCCTCTGAGACGAGAGCGTTCAGTGAAAGGTAAAACCCACCCACGTGTCGATACCTCAGTATGGCTCATCAGCAGGACACCGAGAATCAAACCGGCCAGCCTGGTTTTTTTAAACCGAAAAAAGCTTTGACGTGACCTGAAGCTCCTTTAACCTGTATGACTTCAAAGCTCTTTGACTTGTTTACTTTAGTCTACAGCTCTTACATGAGCAGCTGATGGACGTCATGTTTTCTTTTCCAAGAATTTGTTTGTTCTGTGGGACACGTCGGGAACATCAGAGCTTCTACAGTCTAAAAGCATGATGTGAGAAAACCAAAGAACTTTATGGTGAAAGCACTTTTCTGGTTCCTTTTAATGTTTTAGCAGGAAGATTCTTTTAAATCATGTCTAAAATAAAATGTATTATTTTTATTATTACTGAACTGCATTATCTGATGAATTAAAGCTGTTCTTTACTCACAGCTTGACTCCGTCTGAACTTTGACCTGTGATGTAAGAGGAAGCAGGAAAACACGCTTTTGTTGCTTTTTATGTTTTAAATGATTACAGGGACGATCTGTTTTATTATTTTATGATGAAGTCATGATGGCGTGATCATGTTTGTTTTTCTCAGCTGATTTCTCCTTGTTTTGTAATTAATGTTAAATTAAAATACTCTTAAAAACTTTTATTGGAATCAACTTTCAGTCCTCGACAGATGAGGAAGCCCCCATCCATCAGGCCCTCAGGGCTGAGCAGCTGACTGTCACCATCAGTAAAGCACGGCGGCGCTGTCATCACGCTTTAGAAACTCATTCAGTGTGCCCGATGCTACCAGTGCATGCGGGCATCTCATAGTTATGTACACAATGCGCTCTGGCATCATCACTATGACATATTAATTAGTTCCTGATGGTTTCTGTTCAGGCTGAAAGAAGACAAAGTTCACAAGATTGTTTCCTGCGGGTGAACTTTATTTCACTTCCTCTTATTCTGCTTTGCTCGGCTAGCTTCACACAACGATCTTCGAAGAATAACTAACTAAAGTGAAGGCAAACGGTAGCCGACAGCTAGCAGCCGTGCTGTCTGTATCCATCACTCACAGCAGCCCTCACTTTAAGAAAACGCATCTAAAGGCTACAGTTGTCTGTGGGACTGACTCGATGCCTCAAGCAAATCGAGAACTGCAGTTTTCAGTATTTACACCAACATAGCCCCAAATATTCCTGTCAGAAGCCACGTGCCGACCTAAATGTAAACGTCAAAATATTTGAATTATTCTTTGCATATTTCCACGACCCTTTATCCATAACACATTCATAGAACCTACCGTTGTATATACTGGATTATCTTATTTATTTTGTATTTCTTGAGTTTATATTCTGGTGCACTCTTTGCATTCTTCTGTTATCTGTACCTGAGCCGTGGGGTCTGTAAAATCTTATCTTCAAACTGGTACAGTTTACAAGAATTCACTCCCATGACTGCTAATAGAAACGACCACAGATCTCTTACAGGACAGTCGCCTGAGAGCAGGAAGTGGAGGAAGGGTTCAGATATTTAAAAGATACTTTTACTGAGAACTTACATTAAAAAAACCTGTAAACGTGTGAGCAGAAGGATGAACTACAGCAATACAAATTGTATGCTTTTTATTGATGCTGAGACATTTCCATGTACATGAATTGTTAATTTTATTAGTTGAGTAAATTTGTGATGTTTCACATCCTTCTAAACTTTATACATTTAACATTTATCTCTGAATTTAGTGAAATAAAGTACAAAGTATTAAAACGATCCTTCTAACTTTAAGATCTCAGGTTGTTGAAGCTGGTATTGTTGTGGCTCTTTTCATTTGTTCATTTATTTCTGGTAATCATGAGTCAGCTTGTTGTATTGTTCTGTAATGAGCAGTAAAAGCAGCACAAGAGCCCGGCTCAGGTCTCTGAGAAACACAGAGTCAAACTGACTCGTCTGGATGTTCGTGTTCGTGTAGCAGTGAAAACAGGAAATTTACAGATTTAAAAGCAGACTTTTAATTTTGTTTGATGTTACAACCTGAACAAATGTGTCCACGGCCATTTATAACTTACAATATTGTAAATTATTACAATTTTGTAAAAAGAGACGAGCCGAATTTCTTTGTATCATCATTTAAATTGCAAAATAAATGAGATTGTGAGTCTTAAATCTCAGGTGAGACTCACCTGTAAGCGTTAAGGCCAACAGCAGGACTCCACATGAAAACAGCTCCATCCCCACAGAGTCTTTTCTCAAAAGTGTCTCCCAACTCCAACGGCAGGAGTCTGTAAAGCACGAGGGCGTGACCGCCTGCATCATACCTGACCGTCAGCCAGCTGAGCACACGCCACAAACACACCTGACACACCTTCTTCTTCTGAAACCAAAAGCAAACACAGATGCAACCAGACCGCACTGCTCACGGTGCTAATGTTGTTGTCCTGATTTGTTTTTATTGATATGTTTACATTCATACAGATTTTCCACCAGTTTTCCTGTGAAAATGGTTTCATTTTTATTAATTTGCCAACAAAATATGTCAAATATTAAAAGCATTTCTGTATTTTATTTTACAAATATTATTACTTAGATTTTTATGTTCACTCTTCTTCTGACAAATAAAGTGGTCTAAGGAAAGAGAGCTCCTTAGACCACGATGACCTGATGACCTGGATGACTGAGAACCTTCACCGACAAATAAAGTCACAAACACTTTTCTTTATATTTCTCCTGAAGTCCTGTGTGAAGTTGGAGGTTTCCTGATTTAGTTACTTCCTGTCTGGTTTTGGTCATCATTTGTTTCTTGTGTCTTGTATTTAGTCTTATTTACTTGTCTTGATTAGTTTCAGCAGTTTTTCTTCCAGGCTCCTGATTAGTCCTCGTTGTGTCCGTGTACATACAGCCTGTGGTTTCCTTTGTTCTCTGTCGGAGCGTCTGTTTCTGTTCGTCATGCCTGTGTTCGTTCGCTTGTGTATTGAATTACGTTTCTGGACTTTCGTTTCCCAGGAGATAAAGGTAGTGAAACACTGAAACATACGAAGCTTTTGTGCCAGAACAATCTGCTGTGACTCCTGCTGCAGTTTGTTATCTCTACATCTCGAGGATGCTTTTCTGTGAAACAGTGATGCAGGTGAGCTCTTTTTATGCCAGACTGTCAGTAACTATGATTCTCACGTCAGGCCAGCGATGATCCAACAGGATGATCAGTTTTTAGTTTACCTAACCATGTATATTTAAATTTTAAAAACTGACAACATTTGTTGTCTTTTTTAAAATAAAAAGGTCAAATTAATCACATTTTCAGGGGCTGATTCTGACCAATCGCCACATCTTTACCTGTAACCATGAATAAACTTTCCTGAGCGATGCTTCGTCCTGTAACACCTACATGATGTTTTACTGAGACTGGAGCTTTGGTGGTGCCGTCCCAGCACAACTGCTGTTGTTTATGAAATATTCACAACAGACACGTCGGGGGAACGAAAGAAGGAAAGACAAAACTCATCTGCCAAGAAAATATGTTAAGAAAAAGATTGCCTGTAATTAATGAGTGTTTCTCTGTTGACAGTATGAATATACTCTTCATGGTGGCGTGTGTTGTTGTGAGGATGATGTCATCTAATGCAGCAAATACAGTTTTCTGTTGAAAGTAGAAAAAGGTAGCGAACAGACGGAGTCAGAGCTGAGAACTTCTGTTGAGCAGAGAAAAACTTTTTATTGACACTTTAATGAGTTTGCAGCTGAGTGTGGCGCTCTCGCTCTCTGCTGATAGGAGTGGATGGAGCTCATCCACCTGTCTCTCTTTCTCTCATCTATACGCTGTTAATCATTCCAGTGAGATATTTATGTTATTTATATATCAATATATGTACTGGAGTCTGTTGACTGACTGAATGATCTATACTAGTCATCACAATCCACAGCAAAAACAATGAGTGGCATCAATCAAAGCACTCATCCAGTAACTACAAGGCCCGGCCCAAATGACTGTGTGTGATACAAAATGTGAATCGTTGTCCAGGCCTTATCGTAGCAGCAGGTACAAAGTCTGGAGCTGGAAGAGACGAACCTGCTCAGCCGAGTCGCTGCCTTCACCGACGCACAGAAGCGTCATGGAGCAGAGTCCACGCGCCTTCACGTCAGCAGTGCTCAGTGGTGCTTTTGGTGGCTCATGACAAATGATGTGAGATTTATGAAGTGTATCATATATTTAATATCACACTGGGCAGATTTACCCGTGTACGGCTATTTTCAGTACATGTTGCTCGTTGTAAACTTTCCGTGTAACATTCACGATGATATTGTTGATGGTAACGTGTATGATTCCAGCGCAGCCGACAGGCACTTTGAATTTGTAAAGCTCCTCGCATTGGATTCATAATCAAGTTCACTGACTGACGACCCTGCAGTGCTGTTTTCCTGTTTTCCTGTTTCATCCACTTTAATAAAGTGTCCTGTGTTACAGTAACTGACTTGTGGATTCGCTGAACGAACGCCTAAGTTGGGCTTCAATCTGCCTTAGACTCACTGACCTTCTTTGAATCAGCATCACAATGATCCGAAGTCACTGACAAAACATACACGTATAAATAAATCAAATCTATAGAGAGAAACATGTTTGATATGTTTTTTATTAAGTTACACACAAACAGTGTTTTCTACCAACAGGCTCACACAACACACAACAGACCAGAAACAAAGAAGCAATGTGTACAAGCAGGTGGCAAACACCGGTTTTTGAAGTAATTGTACAACAAATGCCTCCCAACAGCTTCAGTGTTTCCTGGAATTGATTCAGAAACACCAACAGAGCTATTATCCATCTCTTATGTCAGGCAAGTTTCCCCCAGATAGTCCTGGTTGAGATCTAGTGACTGTGAAAGCCATGGTGCATGATCACACCATTTTCATAATCAACTATTCAGTGACCCCTCTTCAAATACAAAACATCTCTCATAGCAACTTTGCACTGATTTTAAAACTCTTTCCCCTTTGACAAAGGGACCCGACGCAGCAGCAAAGTCCAACACTGACTCTTCGTGCAAATGTCAAGAGTAATTTCAGGGGATTTTCCAACCTCTTGGTTCACAAGAGCCAAAGAAAACTCCTCATCAACGTTGGAGTAAAAACTAGATGCTTTTATTGTATATACACTGATAATGCTTACTGTTGTGTCAATAAATAACACACTGAAGACCACAGACAGCAGTCCAGGCATCAGGAGCTGGAAACATCACCTGATAAAGAAAAAAAGACAACGGACCAAATGAAGAGCAGAAGTGTTCTTCATTGCACATTTTTGACCAATCACCAATCAGGACGAATTGCACTATGGTCCATCCCCCTTGCATTTGGAGTGTAATTGTTTTTGTGTTCTAGTTTCTGTTCATGGTGTTGGTTTGATTATTTCCCTGGGTTCAGTTTCCTGCCTCCTCTGTGTCTTGTAGTCAGTTTGTGTGCCTCAGCAGATTTTACTCTTGTTCTATACAACCTCTGTGTTTGTCTTCAGGGTCAGTCTGTAGTCGTTGTAGATGCTCTCATGCTCCTGCACCATCACCCCGTCCCAGGACAGACATGCATGTGATTCCTTCTGATTTGATCAGCTCCTCCCAGCAGCAGATCATTCCAGGGGCGATTCTAGGATCAGAGCTTTGGGGGTGCTGAGCACCGAGAGCTGCTCAGCCAGGCAAGCTCAACTTTACTCATCACGATGAGACGTCTTCCCCGTCTCTGTCAGTCCCTGCATCCTTAAATGTCTCCAGTTGTCCCGAGTTCCCTCTGTTCCTCCCTGTCCTCATCGTCTGTTGTCTTCGTCTCCGTTATCAGGCATCATAATTTTACAATCTCTGTGCAAGTCTGCAAATTTCTTTATTGAATCATAAGATTCTTAAATTCATCAAGTCTCTCTGTGCCTGGGTCCTCGTCACAAAACATGACATCACTGCTTTGTACATTTTAACACAATTTAATAAGCACATGCTTCAGCCAGTACCTTTTGATTAGCCTTGTCTCGTGGTTTCTTGCTTTGTGGTAGATCTTTATTCTGTTTTCACTGAGATATTTGAATGCTAATCAATAAATTGATACTCAATTCTAAAAAAAAAATTTCTAAACCCACATTTGTGAAAGAAAAGCAAAACACTTTTTTGAAAAGTTTTTAACAAAACCATCAAATCAGATCAAGGTTATTTAAATGCTGCAAAAGAAGAATGGATCGGAATAAAAATACATCCTAACCTTAATTACTGGGGAGAATAATGAATGATGCTCATAGTGAGCTTTTAATGTGTATGTATAATATAATACAGATACATAAAAATACACTCCAAAAATAGAAGAGTCCTTGAAATGTACAAAATATTAATAAAGAAATTATAAAAATGGAGGCAACTATGCCTATGGTACAATGTATGAAAAGATCTTTACTGCAGATACTAATATGGCTCTGCAGATTTTTTATTTTATTTTAATGTCGCCTCAGCTTGATGTTGGCAAATCTGTCAGTGTTTGGTGATCAACTCTCTCAAGCAGTTTAAGAGTTTCTGCTGTGCCTGTCACTGCTCCCTGTCTGTTTCCTTACCTCATTCTTCCTGACCTTCCGCCCTTATATCCATTATGAACCTGGCTGTCTCACTGTACACACACACACACACACATACACACACACACACACACACACACACACAAACAACAGCAGTTATGGGAATCCAGCCAGTTATCATAGCCAGTTAGCCATATCGGCACATATGACAAAATAAGCAGCTTCTCTCATTCCTTTTCAAACAGGACAGTGGTAACAGCAGCAGCTACAGACAATGTTAAGTTGTAGATTTTAAACAGGCTGTATACATTTCAATGGGAGCAACAGGACGGTCAAATATCACTGATTTCACTACAGAGCAGGACGGATTGTAGGGCAGCAAACATCGTGGGAAACACGTTTCCCACACTGCAGGTTACCTGGTGTCATGTTTTTCAGCTAAAAGAAACATGGTCTGACTCCTACCAACTGTACAAAGAGTAACGCAAGGTTAAAGGCAGCTAACATGTCCTGTTTTAAGCCAGGCTCTTCCACCTCCCTCTGCTGCGTCTCAGCCGCCATCGCTCTGGCAGCAACGGCGCCAGAGCCAGAGCAGGGGCGAGCTGGAACAAACCATTTTGGGAGGGGGGGGGGTATCTATACTTTTGTTGTTAAAATATTACATCTCAACCAAGTTTCTATATTTTTGTAGTGTATCACACAAAAAATATGACACTATCCTGTACCAAATATTGTCAAAAAAGTAAGAAATCTTTGGGGGTGCTTTGATGAATTTTGATTAAAATGGGCTAAAACCGCCCCTGGATCATTCCTCTCTGACCGCAGTCCTTACTTCCTGCTCTCTGTTGATTTAAACCTTACTTTGGTGACATCTAGTGGAATGAAATGAGAATAACACCTCAGAGTGAAAGTTGCATTTTATATATTTCTGTTTATTAACTCGTAATCAAACTTTTTTCTTCCACCACTTACCTCACAGAATAGTCACAAACATTTTATGTGTTATTTCTTTCTTTCTAATTCTTTTCATCTTTACTGCTTTTTCTTTAAAATAGTCAAAAATATTGCATCCATGCCAACCCTCCCGATTTTTCCGGGAGAATCCCGAATTTCAGTCCCCCTACCGAAAATCTCCCGGAGCCACCATTCATCCGAATTTCTCCCGATTTTCCACCCGGACAACAAAATTGAAAAACCATATCGCAGATTGGCCCAGCCAATTCCAGTTTCCAACAATGGCTACTACTACTGCGGCTACTGAGCTTTAATATTGCTCTTATTACTCTCTCTGGGTCGCATAATAAACTTTTAACACATTTTCAGACGAGAATGTAAACGTCAGATATCTGAGCCGGGGAGAACAGCAAACTCCGGTCACATCGTCTTCAAATCTCTGCGGACTTTCGCTACTCAGGTCAAACATTATATAAGTCACTTAAATAACTCATACATGTTATTGTTTGACTTTTTTCAGTGTTTTTTTCCCTGAGTAAATCGGTTTGGTTGTGATTAAAGTTACTAGATTCGATTAAATAAAACTTTATTAATCCCTCGGGAGGGTTTTCACACAGCTGAATAAACATCAAACGGAAAACTGATTAAACAGAAGCGTGAGACGGTCGAGAGTTTATAATTTATAAATAGTTATAATTTAGATAGCAAGGAGCAGACGGCAGTTGCACCGAGAGAGCTTAGATGAATTATACTTCAGCGATTTTCTTCTTCTATCAAGCGAACTTTATCCCAAAATGTGTAATTTTAAAGGATTTATGTTAAGTCTAGTTAATTATCGCTGCAACGAAACGGATTTTAGTCGATGATGGTGATAATATCGTATTCAAAGGTGAAAAACCTTGCTTTGTTTCATGTTTAGTGACTCAGAGTTACAGAACTTGGCCTTTTCCCCTGCCCACATCCGCTGACTCAGATTTGTTCTATCTATCATTTTTCCACGTTCTGACCTTCTTCTATGAGATTCTCGGAGAAGCTGGTAGAAACTTCTCCCGCTGACGTCACCACGCAGAGCTCACCGCGGAGCACTCTGATTGGACGAGAGTCACGGGAAAGCTCGAGAACTCACGAGAAGTCAGCGAGGAACGTATAAAGTCACCGTGCCGGTTAGAGACTCTGACATCAGACCACCGACAGGAGCTGGACGAGACAAATGCTACAGAGGAGAAGAACAAGAGCTTCATTCATCTTCTAAACGATCTTCATCTGTCAGCGAGAGTGAGTTTCATTTATAGTTTATTTGAAATAATGTTCTGTTCAACGAAATGAGTTTCTTAAATATTAGGCTTAAGAAATGTAATGTTCAGGGATACTTTTAAAGTTTATTTAATGAAGCTTCATTCATTAGTGGCTGGACGAAAACTCAAAAATTACAATTCCTCTACATCTTTATGAAATAAGCTTTATTTTTTAACTTTTTATTTAAGTGTTTCAGTGTTGTTCCGGTGTTGGAAAAGTGTCAGTTATAAAAGATAACTACTGCAGTATTTGATTTAAAAATGTTTAAATAAAACCTTAGATTTTAAATAAGGTTTAGACATGAGGTGGATTTATATCTGTACCCAGCACCTAAAATCATGGCTGCCTTCTAGAAAATACAGTATTAATCGTGCAGAGTCACGAGACCATATTCAATAATAAATATATACTTAAATGACTCAGTTGGACTAGGGAAGACTGTACTGATTTATTTTTAAATGCAGCAATGTTTCATGCAAGATTTAAAAAATATTTAGTTATATTTAAAACTTAAAATCTCAATATTTGCACAAATTGTGCAACTTTGTTATTTTAAGGACCCATAGTTTGACTTAATTTAGCGCTCCATAAACAGAAGTTGTTGTTGCTTCTGTCAGTATTTGTTAATGTTCCTCTCTGATGTTTTCGCCTCCTCTTTAGGAGACTAAGTCAACGTAATCAAGATGTCTTCAGCTAAAGGCGTAGCGATCGGCATCGACCTGGGCACCACCTACTCCTGTGTGGGGGTTTTCCAGCACGGGAAAGTAGAAATCATCGCCAACGACCAGGGCAACAGGACCACCCCCAGCTATGTGGCCTTCACAGACACCGAGAGGCTCATCGGGGACGCAGCCAAGAACCAGGTGGCTCTGAACCCCAGCAACACTGTGTTTGATGCCAAGAGGCTGATTGGAAGAAAGTTTGATGAACCTGTGGTGCAGGCGGACATGAAGCACTGGCCCTTCAAGGTGATTTCAGATGGAGGGAAGCCCAAAATCGGAGTGGAGTACAAAGGGGAGGACAAGACCTTCTACCCCGAGGAGATCTCCTCCATGGTGCTGGTGAAGATGAAGGAGATCGCAGAGGCCTACCTGGGCCAAAAGGTGTCCAACGCTGTCATCACGGTCCCGGCATACTTCAACGACTCCCAGCGACAGGCCACTAAAGATGCGGGCGCCATCGCGGGCCTCAACGTCCTGAGGATCATCAACGAGCCCACGGCGGCCGCCATCGCCTACGGTCTGGACAAAGGCAAGTCAGGAGAGAGGAACGTCCTGATCTTTGACCTGGGTGGGGGCACCTTCGACGTGTCCATCCTGACCATCGAAGACGGTATCTTTGAGGTGAAGTCCACGGCCGGAGACACCCACCTGGGCGGAGAGGACTTTGACAACCGTATGGTGAACCACTTTGTGGAGGAGTTCAAGAGGAAGCACAAGAAGGACATCAGCCAGAACAAAAGAGCCTTGAGGAGGCTGCGCACAGCTTGTGAGAGGGCCAAGAGGACCCTGTCCTCCAGCTCCCAGGCCAGCATCGAGATCGACTCTCTGTTTGAGGGCGTCGACTTCTACACCTCCATCACCAGGGCTCGCTTTGAGGAGCTATGCTCCGACCTGTTCAGGGGAACCTTGGAGCCGGTGGAGAAGTCCCTGAGGGACGCCAAACTGGACAAGGGACAGATCCACGATGTCGTCCTGGTGGGAGGCTCCACCCGAATCCCCAAAATCCAGAAGCTGCTGCAGAACTTCTTCAACGGCCGGGAGCTGAACAAGAGCATCAACCCAGACGAGGCCGTGGCTTACGGCGCCGCCGTCCAGGCCGCCATCCTCTCGGGCGACACCTCTGGCAACGTTCAGGACCTGCTGCTGCTGGACGTGGCGCCTCTGTCCCTGGGTATCGAGACGGCCGGAGGGGTTATGACGGCCCTGATCAAACGCAACACCACCATCCCCACCAAGCAGACCCAGACCTTCACCACCTACTCCGACAACCAGCCCGGCGTCCTGATCCAGGTCTACGAAGGAGAGAGAGCCATGACCAAGGACAACAACCTGCTGGGCAAGTTTGAGCTGACGGGGATCCCGCCCGCCCCGCGAGGCGTCCCGCAGATTGAGGTCACCTTCGACGTTGACGCCAACGGCATTTTGAACGTGTCTGCAGTGGACAAGAGCACCGGCAAAGAGAACAAGATCACCATCACCAACGATAAGGGCCGACTGAGCAAAGAAGAGATCGAGAGGATGGTGCAGAACGCAGAGAAATACAAAGCTGAGGACGACCTTCAGAGGGACAAAATCGCCGCCAAGAACTCCCTGGAGTCCTACGCCTTCAACATGAAGAGCAGCATGCAGGACGACAACCTGAAGGGCAAAATTAGCGAGGAGGACAAGAAGAAGGTGGTCGAGAAATGTGACGAGGCCATCGCCTGGCTGGAGAACAACCAGCTGGCTGATAAAGAGGAGTACCAACACAAGCAGAAAGAGCTGGAGAAAGTGTGCAACCCCATCATCAGCAAGCTGTATCAGGGAGGGATGCCCACTGGTGCTACCTGTGGAGAGCAGGCACGAGCCGGCTCCCAGGGTCCCACTATTGAGGAGGTGGACTAAAGAGGCCCTGAAGATGGACTCTGAGCTCACTGGGACTGTTGAACACTCACATCAGACTCTTTAGCTGTGGGCCACAAAATAAACTTTTAACATATTTTAAGGCGAGAAAGCAGCGGTGTAAATTACAAATATCTGCTCGGTTTATCAATAAATCGTATATTTGCAAAAGTGTGCCGACGTTTTCGGAGACATCTGTTACCCACCCGCTCGATAGCAGGCCGGGGGGTTCAATGGTCACTCCAGCCGGCAGCGGACTCCCGGCTTCATCGTTTTCAGACCCCCGCTCTTTTGCTACTCAGGTTAAACATGATATATTAGTCACTCAGATAACTTAAAGATGTAATTGTTTGCCTTTTTGGGTGTTTTATTTGTTCTGGAGTAAATCAGTTTGGTTGAGATCAAAGTTATTAGATTAAATAAACTTTAATAATCCATCGACTGGGTTCCTCCAGGATTTTCACACAGCTGAATAAACGTCAAACAGAAAACTGATTAAACAGAAGTGTGAGACGGTCGAGAATTTACGCCAGTGTCCTGTTATATTTTAGATAGCACGGAGCAGACGGCCGAGTTTATTAAACTCCACCGACACAGCGGTGACGCAAATCTGAAGGCTAGACCGTCCCATTTCACAGCCTCGCACTTCCGGCCTTCTCAGTCTTTGAAGGACCCGGCCCACGTACACCGCGAAGGCCGGGTCCTCCGAAGGATGCAGCCGACGTTTTGGGACACAGCTTTTGACTTCAAACTATTGGCCTCATGTTAGTTTTTGTTATTTATAATGTGTAAATGAAAAGGTGAAGGAACCGCTATACTTGTGTTTATGAATTTTAATATTCTTGCAATGCTGGATTTTGCAATAAAAACAGTCATTAAATACATTTATGTTTTTCTTCGCTTAATTTACCATGTTGTCATACATATCACTGCATTTTGAAACATTTCTCCATCTGAATTTTGTCATCCGGTTAGACCAGAGATCATTAATACTGAATTTTTGTGCAAACTGTTTGAGGCCTTTAGGTAAAAAGAGGATCAGGAAACCATCTCTGTACAAGGATAAATCAAGAACGCATGGCACCGCATATATGAAAACAGGCACTGCAGTACGCAGAAATACCTCTAGATGTCACTATTTAACACCTTTCAGAGCCTGAATGACACTTTTTTTTTTATCAGAACTGAGCAGCTTTCCAGCATTCATGCACAACAATCAATACTGCCACCACCTCTCATTTTCTTTTCCCAGTAAAGACAAACTCACATAATTTTCTCATTAGTGTACGGTGAAATTGGTTTCTTTTAATTTTGAACAAATTGAAAAGCAAAGTATGCACAGGACTAACTGCCACAAGCTGAAGAAATAAGTACAGATCAATCAAGACATTTTATATTACTTACATAATTTAGCTGAATAAAGACATTGGTAACCCACAATGATAGTAAATGTCCTGTATTGAAAGTCGATGAGAAAATACTGAGTAACTGGAGGAAATTTACGACAGAGGACTGCAGCTTAATGTTACTATTTAATGCCTAATATTATGATTTTTACTTTTTAATGCATAAAAAAGTCTAATTAGGCACAACTGGAATGTTCCATTTGCTGAACCAAGAGTCCGAAATGGCTGCAAATGGATCAATCTTTAACATGTCTAAAATACGAAAGGTCAAAATATTTTCTATATTGTAAGATCTGAACATGTTCAGCTCTGTCTGTCTGTTTATCAGTGCCACCATCTCTGCACTCTCTTCTTCACCTCTCTTGTGCACTGTCTGTTGTTGTGGATGGTTGACCCCAGGTATTTAAACCAATCTACTTTCGCCACCTTTGCACCTTGCATGTTTTTTTTCCACCTGTCTACCTCTCATTCACACACCTGTGACACATGACACAACACCTTTTGCTTCCACTGACTTTTATTCCTCTCCCTCCAGAGCATACCTCCACTTCTTAAAGCTCTCCTCTACCTACTCCCGACTGTCACTACAGATCTGAGTGTTATCTGCAAATATCATAGACTAGACCTCATCTATCAGGCTGTCCATCACTATGAAAAAATCAGCACACCACCTCACATAACATACATGTACACCATATATATTATTTCCTGTACATTCATTATTATAAGATTTTTACAGTATCTTATTAGCTTCAGGAGATTTCTACATAAATCCCTGCTGTAGTTCATCGTGTGAATAATCTTTCGTTTTTAAAGCTCTCCCTCTCCGGCTGAATTTATAAGTTCTGGATATTAACCGCAGTCTCGTAAAAATAATCATGAAATCAAGCCTTGGAGCGTTTGTACTAGATTATTAATATCATGTAGGTCGGTTTATTTATACCCTTTTATTTGTGAAGCGGGACCCTTGTCGGAAGTTGAAGACAGCAGTTTCCGGTCACCGCTCTGAGTCCCGCCCCGCCAGCCCGTGCCATCTTGTGTTTAGCAAGAACAAAAACGGGGGAAGAAAACACGCCCGGCCCGGGGACGGGGCGCGGATTTTCAGGCTGCTTTTTAGGCGTGTTTTTCAGAAAAGTTGGTGCAGCTGGACAGTATGCTCGGAGGAGCAGCGGCGTGGAGAAACAGCAGCCACACCCCGCAGGACGGCTCCGGTTAATGTTAGCTCTCAGGCTATCCGAGCTAAGCTAACCAGTTAGCAGCGGCTAAGATCGCAGGACGAAGGCGAGCCTCGAGTCTGAGCCGGTCTGTGACATCTGGAAATCCCGCATTAACTTCACAAATATCAGCAGCGACCTGGGTGGAAATGCCCCGGACGTGGTGGTGACTGTTTGCGGAGAGGGATTCCGGGCTATGAGGATTGAGGTCCACTGTTAGCTCGGCTGCTATCGGTTGTTTTTCGGTTCAGAGCGGAACCACAATAAGCCGCGGTGAGTACCGTTAGTTAGCGGCTCCACACGGGCTAAGTGGAGGGCCCCTAATGTGCCAGTGCTTTTTAAAAAAGATATTCGTAAAGAAAAATGGTAAAAATGTCACCGTAGCTAAAGTATTTGTGATCATTTTTTAGCCGTTAAGAGAGAGATGTTTAAGTTGGGAGTTTGGCGCAGTAAACCTGCAGGTATTTTTTGAAGTTGTTTTGAAATTACTGTCCTACATTTTTCTGTTGCTTTGCTTTTTTTTTCCAGGTGTATTTAGTAAGATAATTGATAATTACGAGCGAGCCTAACAAATCCAAGCTAGGACACGCAGCCATCTAAATGTGACCCAGCAGTCTCCAAGCAGTCGTTCGTGTAACTGAAAGTATATCAGTGTTTTTAGAGAAACGATCTGAGTTTAGATGCCGAACAAAACAGCCAATAACCGGCTTACTAAAGCAGCTGATAAGATATCTGTGAGGGTGGAGTGCAGGCCGGTTTGGAGCTTCTGTATCCAAATCAAACTATCTTAATGGATGTGAGGTTTCCGTTTTGGACCAGCTCTCCATGCAGTGCTTATGTAAGCCTTAAAATCAGAGCCACACATCTCCAGTGTCCTTATTTCCTCCTAAATAACATTGGAGAAATTGGGTTTGTTATAAAGACCCCAACTCTCCTCCTCCTGCCTCGGGAGATTTGGCATCAAGTCACGGAAAAGCATTCAGCTTTCACTTTGTGTAACTGTTACATGTTCGTGTTGTCCCAAAGGAAAGTTTGGGCCACACACTCGTATCAAACCTCTTACGTTTGACTAAATATGAGCCATTGGCCTCCACATGACTGCACAAGGCTCGCAACATCTTGGCTTTAATTATGCAAAACTGTTTGCAGCTTCGAGCTAAAATTCAGCCATGTGATTGAGGTCATTCAGCACCACTGACGCACAACATTTCACATCATGCTTTGTTTAAAAAGAGCAGTCTGTGGCTCTGCTTCCCTTTTTCCTTTCTCTTGATTTTATTGCCAAACAAAAATGTAACTTGACTGAACTAGTGTGAGTTTGTTTTTCCATGTAGGAAGTTGAGGAAACTTGCTTTCCTAGTCTTGCGTGTTCAAGCTTGCGGGATCGGTCCCGTTCCTCAGAACAGGGACAAAAATAGAAACCACGAGATGTCTTCTCGCCTCAGAAACGATGGCTGCAGTTAACCGTGAACCTGAGAAGTCAAACAATAATGGCGACCGACCTTTGTTACTCGACACGCAGCAGCATGCGCCCCAAAGCTCGAGTCTGATGTTTCATAAAATTTTACCTAGCCATGAACACAACAAAGACCTTATGCAACAGAGTCAACATGACCCCATTTGAATGCTGCTGTTATTTCTACTGTGATCATCTTTGTCGGGCATCTGCACAGCCTCAGAAACACGTTAAAAACGATTGTAAAGGGCCCAAATGTCTGAAGTGTTTTTAAGTAATACGAAAGGTTTAAAAAGAGAAATTTGTGGAGACGTTTGTCTTTGAGGTCCACATGAGGCTGTTACCTGAAGCTGGTGGCAGTAGGCCTGGAGATGTCATCTGTTGTGGATTATACACAGATAACGGAATCAGTGCAGTTTTAAGTGGATTTTAACCTTTTTTTTTTATTTAGGTCTTTGTCAGACTAACGGGAAGTAAAGCTGTAAGAATCGAACAGACTTTAATCACTAAAAGTGGAATTGTTCCTCACAGAAAACGAGGGGCTTGTTACCCCATGAATACACACAGTATGTGTCTGCAGTGTTGGTGCTTCACCGTTTTATCCCTTCAGCTGCACATCTTCAGACCACACCAGAAACATTTAGACCGTACGAGGTCTTTTATTTTGGAATTTGGCCTGGTTCTCTTCCTGTCCGCTCTGAGTCTGGCTTCTTCAGCCGCCATCAAAAACAAGTCTGATGCTAATTTGAACCACACTGTGGAGAGCTGCTTCTCAAATGTCCCTGTCACATACGCAGTCATTGTATTTAACACCTTTTATTTATCTTAGTGCTTCACAGGTGACTGACGAGCCAATGAGAAGGCTCAAAATGTAATTCAGCTGAACAGTTGATGAGCAGCTTAATTCAGCAACTGAAGAATTTGAAAGTAAATTAAAACAAAATATAATTTTACATTAGATAAAAAGTTTTAAACTTAATTAAAATAAAACATGTCTTAAATTAAAATAAGTAAACTGTCATGTTTATTGCTGCCAAAAAAAGTTAAACACATTTGGACAGTGAAGGAATGTCAGGATTCTTGCTCAGAAAAAGGATCAACATGCTCTGAAGTCAGAGCACAGAAACCTTTTTTGTAACAAAATATCGATTTCTGCTGTCCCTGTATCGATACATTATTAGCAAACAAAATATCACGATACTACACAGTATCGATTTTTTTCCCCACCCCTAATGCGCAGTGCCTTTGTTTTCATACGCTAACTAACGGCCGAAAAAGCATGGCGGCGACGGAGAATGAGAAAGGAGAAAGCGGATTGTTGAGTGAAACGGGTGAACCAGAACTGGTTTGTAAAAATGCTGCAACTTCAGGTTTAGCTTTCGTCTGTCAGATACACAACAAAGCAGATTTTTTTTTGTAGAACATGCAAGCGGCCGTCGTTATTGTCGTATTTGTTGGACTAAGGTGCTTGTAAATCTGGGAGTAATCTGGGTCCTAAAGTCAAACGAACACTGCAGCATCACTGAGAGTTAAACTGTCTAAATTCTTTCATCTTTAATAAAATGATCAGCGTTGCTGCTTTACCAGGTGTAACTATGAAGTTTAACATCCAGGCATCCATGAAAACAGAATTCATTACATTTAACGGAGTTAGAAGTTAACAGGAAGTTAGCTTGCTAGCTTCGCTAGTTACCTAAACATGATGTAGCATGTTCTGACTGAGAGATTTATGAAGCATTCAAAAGTACAGCTCTGCTGTCACTTCCAACATAAATGAAGACAGGAAACTAAACAGCAGTGGCGTTTGTAGAGTTACTGAAGTTGGGCTAGCTGCTATATAACGATGTGCTATGTGATCGCTAGCTACACAGCTATGTTAGCATAACACAGACCTTCCCAAAGTGTTTGGCCCGCCCCCTAGGGGGGGCACAGAGCCATTGCGGGGGAGGGGGGGGACACGGACAAAATATGGGTGTGTGTGGTTGGAGGATGTGTGAGCGCGTGCACGCGCGAGAAGGGGGAGGGGGCGCAAACATTTTTCTTGTAAAACAAGGGGGGCCCAGCAAAAAAAGTTTGGGAACCACTGGCATGACATAAACAGTGAAGCTGGAGGACGAACACTAACACTTTTCCACTCGATAAAAGTTAACGTGAAGGTTCCTGATGGTTAGAGACAAATGCTTAATGTGCATTATAATCCCGTGCACCTTATGGTCGGAAAAGTCCGTATTTGACTTTTTTATTTGGCACACTGCAGTTTAATGTTGGTGGTTCAAGTCCCGGCTTCCCCTAGTCTGCATGCCAAATATACTTGGGCAAGATACTAACCCGAAATTGCTCTCCGATGCATTCATCGGAGTATGAATGTGTGTGAACGTCAGTTGTGCTTGTGCGAATGGGTGTGAATGGGTGAATGCACAAGTTGTGTAAAGTGCTTTGAGTGCTCAGAAGAGTGGAAAAGCGCTATATAAGAACCAGTCCATTTACCATAATGTTGCAAAGCTCCTCTTTTTAACTTCAGTGGATATTATACATGGTTATGCTCAGGATATGTCAGTACGTTTCTACTGGAGATGCCTTTTGGTTAAGCTGTCAGCAAGGAATTTGCATTTGCACTGTTAAATGTTTATATAACTTTAATGCACATAAAAACAGCTGCTTGTTTAAGTGAAAATAAATGGATGGTTTCTTTGCACTAGTAAAGTTGTGAAGTTGTATTTTGTCTCGCATCAATTATATCGTCAGTTATATCGTTTTTGCAAAGTTTCAAATATATATCGTGATAAATATTTTTGGCCATATCGCCCTGCTCTAACCAGAATCAATAAACTAATCTCTGAATAAAATGATGCACATGCAGTAATGAACACCCTTTAACCGTGGTATTACCATTGATGTTTCTTAGTTTTCCAACCAATAGATGCACAAAATTCACAGCCAAATATTTATCAGTGGATTTTTAAATACTTTAATACCAGCATCTGGTTTATCGGGCGGGTTCGCCTGGAAAAACTTGAGAAATAACACTATATTGTTACTGATATCAGTGTTGTCTCATTTTAAATTGAAATGCTACAAAATGCTTCCAACATTGCTCCTACACATCTACAGTTGTTCAGTAAACGGAGACTAAAATGACACATTTAAGTTTTGTTTTAAACGTGTGATTGATTTCTTATGTAACGCTGAACAGTAAAGCAGAGAATAGAGCAGTAATGATTACTGTTGGATCTTATGTGGAGATTTAAACCCATTGTGCAGTTGTTGTAGTGTTGAAGGAACTCAGTCTTCAGTTTAGGTCTTTAAAAGCATTAAAGTAGAATTTCAAAGGGTGTTCAGATATGCAGTGAAGGCTGACTGACACGATAAAGGTCTCTAGTTTGATACCACGGTGAAGTTTTAGGCAAATTAAGGTGCTGCTTTCCCCTCTGCTGTCATATTTTCAGACGGGTAGTGTTTCTTCTGACTGTAGCGGCAGGCTGTCGAGTGCCACGCCATACATAATTGTAAATTGCTTCACTGTGTTTAGAAGCGCTTTCAGGTCAGGGGGGCAGGATGGTGGGAATCTGTCTCCACCTTGGGCACAGAGCGGGCGCGTTGTTAAATGGGGATCCGGCGGCCGGCGTGCAGAGGCCTGGTTAAGCTGGCGACTCTTCTCGGGGCTGCAGCTGACGCTCAGAGGATGAGCGCCACATTAACCCCGTTACAGAAGGATGTCAATAAGCACGGCTCAGTGTGCAGCCTCAGATTACATCCACCGCTCTGATGATTCGGCCTTTCTCTTTGGATTTTTGTGGATTTATTTAAATCGGTGTTGATTTGAGTCGGAGCGTAACAGCGAAGTCGTACACTCTGATCTCCACATACAGCAGCCAAAACACGTGCCAGGCATTTCATTAAATGCATGTCATGATTCTGCTCCTCCCTCAGACCCATTTTCATGGCAGAATGTAGATTTGAATCACTGAGGAGTTCCTTTCATTTTCTTATTTCTGCTCGAGCTGGAATTTGTCAGTTCTTGCAGCTATAAATAGCTTAAAGCTTTGAGTCGAGTTGGAAAATTTGATGGAGAAATTTGTGCCAAGAAGCTAAAACATCTACATTTCATTATGTCTGCATTAAGACGTGGTAACGGCTTCCCTTATGACCTGTTTATGAATTATTTAAATGGGAAGGAAGAAATCGGTCCAAACTGAGCTTGAGCACTAAGCTTATACCTTCATACAAATATTAATGTGTATTTGAAACGATTAATCGCATCCTTTAATCATCAGATTGTTTTCTGGTTGTTGACTGAATGTGAGGCCCATCAGAGTCGCATATTCAGAGCTGTTGTTAGAAGCAGTGCGTTAGATAAACATCACAATCGTCTCTGCTGAAGCTGCAGCACCATGACTGTGACCTACTTCGTTGGCGACACGCACACGTGCAGAGTTTCTCCGTTACAGTTAATAATGCACACTGATGCAGCAACTTAAGGCTAAGGGGAGTGGCAGTTATGTGTAAAGTAAAAAAAACTTTACAAACGTGCTACAAGCATGAGCCCCGCCTCTCGGGCAGAGGAACCTGTCCTCTCCAAACCAGCAACACAAAGGGAACGACCACGGTGGCTGAGGCAACGCAAATGGATGTTAGGAGCCTCAGACACCTCAGAGAAATTAAACGAAGAAGAACAGACGTAAACAAACGTGTCGTGTGACGCAGCAGCGCACATTGTTAATTATAATTCTAGAATCGATTCAATTCGATTTGAATCTGGGAAATTTTGCCTCAGACAGTCAGAAATATTATAACTCAGATCAGCACATTTACATATTTTTGTACCTATAAAAAGGAAGCTGACACACGCAAGACTTGATCAGAGGTGTGAGCGTCACAGTGAGGCCTTTGTGTCAAAGCAGCTGAAGATAAAACAGAAAAACATGAAGCAGATTTTCCTGTTCTGGATTTTATAAAAGTATTCTGCAGTCGATCACAAAGGAAAGAAAACCATTAATCAGCACATGAACATCACCTCTGAAGTTACAGCGGTTTTATTAGAGACACAGCGTTTTGCATTTTGCATAATTTTAAAAAGTTTAAATTTGTTCAGTATTGAACGGCAGAAATTAGGTTTTTCTTTTTGGAAGTAAGTAAAAGGAAACAAACAGCGTCCGACAGCCTGTAAACAACGGCAGAGAATGTGCATGTAGTGTGATTTTATCCTGGTGGACGCAAAACAGCAAAAGTCAGAGTGAATCCATGACGATGTTTGTGTGAAGCGTAGTTTGGATCTTCTTTTGCTGCTGGTTCGGTCAATGTTGTTTGGAGAGAGAAAAAGGGCGTGAACACAAAGCTCGACCCGCCGACAGAGTCGGCGAGCTGTCGGCTTTCAGCCCCGACCGTGTCCGTGCCGTCGCTGAGAAAGTCACAGCTCACTGATCCTGATGCGTCGGCGGGTCGAGCTTTGTGTTCACGTCTCTGTGCAGAAGCCTGTTCCTGCTCTCAGTTACTGTTTTCATCTTTGGTGGTTGTTGAAACTGAGATTCTGGCGTTTCCCATAGAGGAGGTGGGAGTGGTCGCCACGGTAGGTGGAGCTGCAGGTATCGGGCGCGTTGCTGTCTGTGTATCAGGTTATTCTTAATGATTAACATTTATGTTTTTTGAAACGCCATCTCTTGGAATTCCTCGAAGCGTTTTTCATTGTTGTGCACTTGAATTTCCTCACCTGCTGAGGGAGGGGCTTGTGCATACCTGTCTGCAGGAGCTCTAAAGTTGTGTATCAGCGGGAGGAGGTGAACACGGCACTGTTCATACCGAGAGTGCATCAAATGAACACCTGATCCATTTTGGACAGCCAAACATTTGAAGCGTCTGCACCGAAGCGCCGGGCTGGTCATCGTCGGCGTCGTTAGTTTTCGTACAAGTGGATCTCCTCTGATGTTTTTCAGCAGCGCTGTCGTCGTAGAAACAAGAAGACAGAGGCTGAACGTGACTGGGTGAGCGGATTTGAAGGACGAGCGCGTGTCCTTATTTTGGAAGCTGTCGGCCTTTCGCGTCACGCTGCTGCCGTCACTAAAGCGATCTGAGCCGAACAGTTCTTCATTGAAGCCCATTCATGGTGAAGAGCATTTTGTGAAAACGCAGCTGCCATTTTGTCTCGCCCACATGGGTCCTTGTCACTCTCCCTCCCTGCATTGTTTGTATTTGGCACTCCCACGGTGAAACAGCCCGATTTTCCCTGGAACGCTTCACAAGCCTCGACTTGTCAGCCGGTTCCCAGATAGACGGCTGAAGTGCAGATCCATGTTAACTGTGAACGGTAACGTCAGCAGCAGCCAGTCGTGGGATTCCTGGTGCAATACGCAGCGTTACAGATGTGCAGCACAGACTGGGAACATCAGGGAAGCTGATGGAGTCTCTGTGAGGGAAGACTGGAAGTGGGTCACTTTACAAGAGTGCAGGAATGCATTTCCCAGCATGTTTGGCACATTAATTTGATGGTTTTCAGCCCAGCTGAAGTATAAACGGGCAAATCACATGCTGCAAAAGCAACACAGGCACCCGCTGTCTTAGTTAAAGGGGCAGCCAACATATAGCAAAACTTTGATCCAGCTTTTCCAGTACTTGAATCCGAATCATTGATACTTAGAAAACCTCTTTCCCCTCCTTTATATACTCATTTAGGTAGATAAATATGTATGTGTGGACATAGCTATGTGATTGTTTGTATAATGGTAATTATATTTTATTTATGTTTCACGCTAATAAGAAAACTAATAAAAAAACCTGTAAATGTCTGAACAGAGGTCAGAATGATTTAAACTCATAAAGCATCACATCCACAGATCATAAAGATTTATTTACCTCCAGCAGAAAATCTGATAAAATCTGATTATGACTAAAACCCCAGTTAACAAGAAAAAGCTTTGACCTCTGACCTCCATGTTTTCACCCTGATTTCAATCTGCAGCACTGACCTGAGCGCTCTCTCCATCCTCCAGGCCCTGGCCATGCCCTCGAATGCGCGGGCGGGCAATCTGAAGGACCCCGAGGTGGCTGATCTGTTCTGCAAAGATGACCCGGAGAAGCTGTTCACCGACCTCCGGGAGATCGGCCACGGGAGCTTTGGAGCAGTGTACTTTGTGAGTAACATCGGAAGTGCGTCCGCTTTTGACCGTGTCAGTAACAAACTCACTCTCTGGTTTTAATGTTGTTCAGTGTGAGCAGCTTCTCTCTCCAGGTGTGAGTTTAAAACAAAGACATCAGGTGAAGTTGTTTACATGTTAAATGATCCCTCAGAGAAAGTTAGTCACATGTGCCGATCCTGTCTGCTCCTGGATTTACTAAAGTCCACAGCTTGTTAGGACTCTGCACCTTCATAACTACAGTACCCACCAAAATAAAGGTGTGGGCCTCTAAAGCAGCGGTCTCAAACTTAAATGAGCTGTGGGTCGCTGCCGTCTCATTGGAGAACACTTTAGGGATCAAGTAATACAAACAAACAAGGAAAAACCCACAAATTCTTCTGAGCGCCGTGTAGCACAGTAAATCGGTTCGAGGTCAGTAAGCACAACCAGAATTCATACATTAGGCGCACTGTTGATTTGTGAGAAAATTAAAGGATTTTAAGTGGCCTTATAGTGCGGAGAATTCATTACACAGAAGAAAAGAATGTATCGCGATATATATCGTTACCGCACATGCTTCAATTTATACCGCAATATGGATTTCAGGCCATATCGGCCAGTCTGTACACCTGAGTGTTCCAGAGTCAGTGTGAGGTCGTCTGTCCTCAGGTCTTATACGGGACTAGCTAAGGACCACATGTGCTTTTGGTCCTGATGCAGAAACCTCAGTCGGGCTATTGGTGCAACCTGTTTCTGTGCTGTGGCGCTCCAAGGCAGCATGTTTTCTTACATCTAGAACAAAGACGTGCTCGAGTTAAGTGGCTGTTTTGATCGTCATATTGTAGCAATGATCAGATCCTCTGGAACATGAACACATGGGGTTGTGTGACCTACGAGCATCGTTCCACCACGTCCTCCTGTCCTTAAGAAACTCCTAAACCTCTTAACTGCTCCTCTCTGCTTCAAACACTTCAGCTTCAAAGCTCTTTTAAAGGCTGAGCATGTTTTATGAAAAAGTTTTATCTCTGCCGGGATTTACTTCTGACTTTAAGGGGAAATTCTTAGAAAATGTTCTTGAAGCTATTCTTAGTACAAGGAAGCTCTGCGGCTAGACGGCGAATCATCACGTTTTTCCAGCAGTCGGTGACTGATGGGTGTGAACCGGTTTAGAAGTGTGGGACCAGAGCAGACGTGAAGCTTGCATCTGCACATGTTTGTATAGGTGCAGACATACAGCAGCACGGCGTTCTGCACGCTGGGCTTATCTTAACCCAAATCAAATAGTTTGGATTGTTGTCTGAGTGTCTCTTGGATGTACTCGCCGAGCTGTCCACCGTGTGGATCTGTGTGGGTTTCTCTTTAAAATCACTCTTATCTGCCATTAATAAAGAGAGTGTGAATCTGAAAATGTCCCCCAGCTTATTAGAAAACAGTGGGAACACGACGAGTGTGTGCGCCGCGCCTCTGCATCTCATTTCACCTGTAAAATATTCTTGAGGCTGAGTGGTAGACTCACACCTCCACACTGCATGTCTGAGTTTCAGAGGAGCCTTGAAAGGCCATTAGAGAAGAGCTGCAGAAATAGACGCTGCGCAGCAATTTGCATCAGATAAAAAAGAACGTTTCACACGCGGCGCCCCTCAGCGTCTCTGAAACTGTCGCTCACAACAGCTTCAAGTGTTTGCGTTTCCTGTCGTGTCTCCTGTTCCAGCGGTGGATGTTCGTGTTGAAGTAGCGAGGGCGGTGCGTGTACAGTAATCCCTGAGAGGTGACCCTCAAGCTGTTTTGTTTGTTTGTTTGTTTTATTCTTTTGGGTCTGTGTGAGGTCAAAGTTGAACCCCTATATGCGACCATCCCAGGCACAGAAGCCCCACCCACTCACTCTTCAGACCTTCAGCTTCTGAAGAGCTGCCAATCAAAAGAAAGCTGCCTTAAACTGAGGGAGGTGGCAACTAAGAGCTTCTAATTAGTAGTCACGATTTCTAAGCAGTGAAATAAATAATAACAGTAAATTAAAGGTTTTGTGAAAACTTGATATTGATTAAAAAAAAACCTATTAGCTAGGGCTGGGTTTTAATTATCGATTAAAATTGATTCTGGCTTTAATAACGTGAAATTGATTCATTCAAATCCTGAATCGATTTTTAAATATAATTTTATTTTGCCAGAAACGCCAGAATCTCCGGTTAAACCTCACAAAACTTCAACAACCACCAAAGATTAAAACAGTAACAGAGCAGGAACAGGCTTCTGCACAGAGACGTGAACACAAAGCTCGACCCGCCGACGCATCAGGATCAGTGAGCTGTGACTTTCTCACCGACGGCACGGACACGGTCGGGGCTGAAAGCCGACAGCTCGGGTCCGCGTGGTTTTGTCTTTGCTCACAGGCTTTCGAGCGTTTTCCTTATAAAACGCCGTTTTTACCGTTTCTTCCCGCAGTAAATATAAACAACGACAGTATTCAGGAAGAAAAACAAACATTGCAGATATTTTATCATAACTCTGGTTTTACGTGGCCGATCAACACAATTTACAAACTGGTATAAAGTCCTCACTTTGTCCGTCAGTTGTTCCGTCTGTCCTGCTCACGTCTCCAATGGTTGTACACGTTGTCATTAACGTGGCTTCACTCCACATCAGCCGCTTTGCTAAAACACTGGTGTCGGCACATAAGGACGCTGTCAGAGCCTGACAATGACGTTGATCAGCTGCGTATATACGAATGTGAATCGCGTGACTAGCTGGACTACGGGATAAGGAGGCATCGTTCTGATCCCATACAGGAGCAGCCAGTCACTGACTCACACTGCAGAACAGAATCGTTAAAGTTTTAATTTTCATTTCAATTCAGGTTCGACTTTTTTCTGTGCGCAGAAACGTGCAGCAGTGCACAATTGCACACGCGCGCAGCTTAGAGGGAACATTGGCTGTGTAATAAAACTCTGTAACTTTGCTCTGCTTCACTTCAGCAGCATCAGGTAACATTCATGTGTTGATTAATGACTTTCTTTTGTTTTTGATCTACTGCAGAATGTTTTTAAGGTTATCTGCTATAAAATCCCAGGCCAGGAAAATCACCTTCATGTTTTTCTGTTTTATCCTCAGCTGCTTTGACACAAAGGCCTCTGCTGTGACGCTCACACCTTTGATAAAGTCTCACAAGTGTCAGCTTTCTTTTTATAGATATAAAAATATGGAAATGTACTGATGCATGATCAGAATTATAATATTTCTGACAGAGGCAAAATTTTCCCGATTCGAATCGTGAATTGAATCGATTCTAGAAATCAGTGGCGATACTATTAGCAGTATATTAAGGAACGATAATTGATTAAAAGCTGCACTTTGTACGACACTGTTGCTCGACTATGCAGCGTTATCGCCACAGCTAACGGTGAAAAAGTTTATTTCTGTTTGTTCATGAAAAACCTGCTGAGACGTTTGCTGGCCGTGGCTGTTTATCTGCAGGTTATGGATCAGAAATCGTTCGATAAACAACATCTTTCAGCTGTAGTTGAGAGCGATGTTAGCAGACACTGACAATAACTAACAGTTATTATTGGTTTGATCGCTGCTCGGCTGTTCTGGGGTGTTTGTCTGGCTCTTTATGTGCTGCGTCACACATTGGGTCACAATTCTATCTGTTAGGATTTTGGCTTCCACTGATGACATGACTGAGATCTCTGCCCCCACCACCACCACCACCACCACCACCACCACCCCAAAAAAAAACAAAACAAAAAAACCAACCTAGCTGCTTTTAAACCTCCTGTTTGTGTCGAGGGTGAACTGATGGGCTGCTCCAAGGCTCAGTGTAAGATAAGGGAAAATTATGATGAGCAGTAAATCGTGCAATGCTGCTGTATTGGGACTCCAAAGATGTTAGTTTGTGTATTTTAATGCTCATTTCAGGTCTTCTTGACAGCAGAGGTGATGCTGTTGCATCACAGGGTCTTATCAGTACTGTGAGAATGCAGAACGAATTCATCTGGCGCCTGTAAGCAGCGTCCTCTCTCAGGATCAGGATCCAACACTTTGAACAGCTGTGAGAACATCGAGTATGTGATTCAAAAATAAATCATGTAGTTTGGATGACTAATGGATCATTGTGTCCAGCTCTGTTCTCGCCTCACCGAGCAGGGCTTGTTGATCGTTTGGCTCCACCGAGTGGTCCTAAAATTAACCTGCACGCCGAGTCCGAGGGGAAAAAGAGGAAAGGAAAACTGATGTAAAGAAACGTTTTTCCAACAGACTAATTGTGCCGAGTAAATGGAGCAGACTCGGTTACAGAAGTAAGCCTCTTATTTCTTTCCCCTTCGTGTCTTTAAGATGTTATTCTAAAAGAAAATCCTGTAACAAAGCGAGTCGTGTCATTTACACACGCGTGACCCGGTTACTGTCGGCTTCCACAGTAAGCTGATTTTTCCTAAACGCAAAGCAGACGAGAAGCGAAGGAACGTTTGTAATCAGGACTGGGGATTAGACGAAGCCGGTTTTCTCCAGGGAGTGCATTTCCTGTGCACCAGGTGACGTTTCCACACAGATTTTAAATGCAAACGAAGACGAGCACAAAGAAAACGCTTTCCTTTTCTGTTCTGATGGATTCTGTCAGAGGTGAAATCAAACATGACACAGTTACCTAGAAGCATAAATACATCAGTCTTAAATCAACAGGAAGAGGAAGAAAGCTTACTCTATTGTCTCCTAAACCAAACATTACTTTAAAAATAACCATGAAGTGGGCACAGTTTACTTACTGCAGTCTCCACCTCCTTCCAGAGAACAGCAGCATGCTGGATGAGTCTAAAGACTGGAATAAGAAGCTAATCCTTTGACAGTAAAGTCAGGAGGTCGGATTGAAACCTTTTATTATCCAACCGTGTGAGAGAAATCTTTCTCTGTTCACTGGTTCAGCTTGATTATAATTCATGAATATAGATATATAGAGATATAGATCTAGAGAGATATAGATCTAGAGAGAGAGAGATATAGATCTAGAGAGATATAGATCTAGAGAGAGATAAATAATATTTTTCTCTCTTTAAATGTTGCTCATTGGAAACCCTTTTAAATAAATCTATGAAGTTGTTTCGCCGGCGGTTTGTCAGAGGGGACAAACCGGTTGCTCACACATCCTGACGCAGTCCCCAATCGAAAACCGGTTCCACTCCTTTCCATCAAAGTCAAGCGCGGCGCCATGCCAACTACCTGTCACCACAGCAGCGTAACGTTCCTGGGCCCGAGCCATTACTTTTCTCACACAGAGATTACTCCACCCTCTGGTGTAGTTGGACAATAAGAACTGGCTCCTCATCAGCACAGTCTCGGTGGATGCACGCCTGTGAGGGCAGGCTTGCAGATCGCGGGTTCGATTCCTGAAACAGAACTGAAATGTACTGAGGGCTGATTGTGTTTGTGTCGTCCAACAGGCCCGAGATGTCAGCAACAATGAAGTGGTGGCCATCAAAAAGATGTCGTACAGCGGCAAGCAGACCAACGAGGTAACGAGCGCAACGATCGTAGATTTGAAGATCTGCCTGCCCTCGTCTGCTCGTGCTCTGATGGGAAACAGTCGCACTGATGTTAAGCAGCTAATTTTGGGATTTTGTGTGCCAGAAAAATTATTTTACAGATTTAAATTCTTTCGAACTTCTTTACATTTTAAATGTGCTGTGAGACACTTTAGAAAGAAGAGCTGAGTGTTTTTCTGTTGCTGTGCAGAAATGGCAGGACATCATCAAAGAGGTGAAGTTCCTGCAGAAGCTTCGCCACCCCAACACCATCGAGTACCTGGGCTGCTACCTGAAGGAGCACACGGCATGGGTACGTCCTGTAACGCGTGGTTAACGGGGAGGTGTTTTACCTAGGGCCAGCACAGTGGTTAGCATTGTTGAATCACAGCAAGAAGGTCCTGAGTTCATTCCTCTATCAGGCCGGGGTCTTTGTAGAGTTTGCATGCTCTCCCAATGATTGTGGGGGTTCACTCCAGGTACAACGGCTTCTTCCCACAGTCCAAAAACACGCAGTTATTGGGGTTAAGTTAAGTTGTAACTCTAAATTGCCCATAGTCTGTCTCCTGTTGGTTATTATAGGGGGGGAAATGTCATTTTATTAGGAACAAGTGTTTAGTAACTGAACTGTTATTCGGTGACATCACCTCACAGTGGAAAAACATTGAAATGGAGACGTTTCTGTTGGTCGAAGCGGTCTCAGCCGAGCTGTGACACATAGAGGTGGAGGAGTTCATCATGTTAGGTCGGCTGTGTGAGCTCCTTCACTGATGATGTGTAATCGCTGTCGTTTCCTCCTCAGCTGGTGATGGAGTATTGCCTCGGCTCGGCCTCAGACCTCCTTGAAGGTTCGTGCAGTGCTGCACACACTTCACCCGTTTTTATTCATTCTTCTTGTGTTTCTGGTTTTTCTGATGAATAAACTTTTCTTTCTCCTTGCAGTTCACAAAAAGCCGCTCCAGGAAGTAGAAATAGCTGCTATTACCCACGGTGCACTGCAGGGGTTGGCATATCTTCACTCTCACAATATGATTCACAGGTAAGATCTGTTTGTCCGTCAGCTCCTTTAAACCAAGAAGACCTGCAAACACACAGACGTGTGGCGTAGATGCAGTTAGAGCCCACCGCCAGCAGGGGTCACACTCTCCTCTCTCCTGCAGGGACGTGAAGGCAGGAAACATCCTGCTGACGGAGCCGGGTCAGGTCAAACTGGGGGACTTTGGCTCCGCCTCCATCGTGTCTCCGGCCAACTCCTTCGTGGGGACGCCATACTGGTGAGCATCGATGGAGCTCGTTCAGTCCATGTTTTGAACAGACAACACCAACGACCAATCAGAGCGTGAATAGGACCGGACCACAGATGAGATCTCCTTCGTTTACATTTGAAAGCTTCTTGAATTTGTACCCAGGATCTGTTCAAAGTCTCTTTTCAACAGCAAAATTAGCCTAATATTAGCTGAAAGGTCATATTCAGGATCATCAGCGCTGCTCTCTGAGATTTTACTTTTACCAGCTGTTGATTAAACAGCTTCAGTGTAGCTTTGTTTGTCTGCAGATGTTCAGTTTTAACCCCAGAATAATAAAATAAGTGGACAAGATCTGAGTTTTTTTCTCGTAGTGCAGCTTTTTTGTTGTTTCGCTGAAACACATTTTGCACGTCGTGCGGCGCACCAGCGGATGACTCGGCCCGTTCTCTCTGTCTTCTCCAGGATGGCTCCGGAGGTGATCTTGGCCATGGACGAGGGCCAGTACGACGGGAAGGTGGACGTCTGGTCCCTGGGCATCACCTGCATAGAGCTGGGTATGAGCTGCTGTCTGTGCTCTTAAAGTGTGAGCCTGGGGCTCTGTGATGCTAACTGTCGTTCTTCTGCAGCGGAGAGGAAGCCCCCCCTGTTCAACATGAATGCTATGAGTGCCTTATACCACATCGCTCAGAATGAAAGCCCCGTCCTGCAGTCCAATCACTGGTGAGCAGCCTCCATGTTTTCCTGCGGCGCCGTGTATCCCTCTGTCCACTTCGGAGACACTGCAGTGAACTGATGTTGTGTTTTTGTTTCAGGTCCGATTCCTTCCGCAGTTTTGTCGACTCTTGCCTACAGAAGATTCCCCAGGACCGGCCTACCTCGGACGTGCTTCTCAATGTGAGCGTTATTGATCCAGGACAGTTTTTAAACCTGCCCTGCTGTGTGCTCACCTGTCATTTCTATCCCTCCTCCCGCAGCATCGCTTCTTGTGCCACGAGCGCCCGCTGACCGTCGTCATGGACCTGATTGCACGAACCAAGGACGCGGTGAGGGAGCTCGACAACCTGCAGTACCGCAAGATGAAGAAGATCCTGTTCCAGGAAACCCAACAGAACGGCCCCGTCACCGAGGGAGGCGAGGAGGAGGAGGTGAGGAAGGAGCACAGATCAGGAGATTTGTGCTTTTTTGGCTTTAAATACCAAAAAAGGAGGAAACTAACCTCAGAACATTTTCCTCTGACTGGCTTTAAGCAGGAATGTTGGAGTGTTACTGGAAACTTGACTGTGTGCACAAAAATAGTGAGAAAGCCGAAGGCGGGCCGCCTGAGCTGTCGCCCTCTCCGTTTCAGCTTTAGGTCTTGTCATGTGATCGGGCTGGGAGGGACTCCTGATGAGGATTCATGTGTGAAAGAAGATTTTGTTTTGTGTGTTTCAGGAGGTGGAGCCGTACCTGCTGCAGACGGGCACCGTTAACAGCATGGAGAGCTCCCAGTCTGTTCCCAGTATGTCCATCTCAGCCAGCTCTCAGAGCAGCTCGGTCAACAGCCTCGCCGACGCCTCCGACGACAGCAGCAACGAGATGGCCATGATGCAGGAGGGCGAGCACACGGTCACCTCCAACAGCTCCATCATCCACCGACCCACGGTAAGTGCTTGGCTTAAAGCTCACCTGACATCCAGCTCGCCTCCTCTGGATTCACCATCCTGATTCTCCCTCCTCCTCCTCAGGGTCAGGACAACATCTACGATGACCCGTACCAGCCAGAGATGGATCAGCCTCAGGCTCCTTCAGCTGGACGCCGGCGAGCCTTCTATCGAAACCGTGACCACTTTGCCACCATCCGCACGGCCTCTTTGGTAAGATCCGTCACAGATAGAGATGGAGGTTCTACAGATATCTATGAATGGAGCTGTAGTGGAGTAAAATGACCTCAGTTTGTCCACAGACAGTAGTGACTACGGATGGATATCGTTTAGGTTTTATCCGATAACGGTACTTTTGAAACTGTGCCGGTTCTTAAAGAATGGAGAACACAAAATTGGTCCAAAAACCTCTCATGTTCAGCTGTTTTTTTTGTAAAAATATAACAATGTTAGCCTTTTCTGCAGCTATGGGGCATATATGGTATCACTCTTGGCTGGAAGCTTAAACAATGGAAAAACACAAACTTTGTCCAAGAACCTCTCATGTTTAAGTGTTTCCCACTTTTTCTTTGGTCATTTTAGCCTTTTTGTCCAGGGTGAAGGGAGTATCTGCCATCAAACAAGA